TTGTACGCCAACCCTTCAGATCTTCTGAATCAGCAGACAAGCTGCCCAAACCCAACTCCAGCTTTTGCTCAGCTTTCTTTCTCAATTCGTGGACAGTCTCGTGCGACGACACTGGAAGTGTTACTGAATGGCCACTGAGCAAGGTGATGGTTATCTCAATCGACATGTTGTGACTGGGAAGCGAAAGCCGGGTGAAGTCTCTGGACGTGGCTGCGGAAACAAGAACTGCAACTGTCACAACTGACCACGCTGAAGTGGTGACCTACATGTTCTACGTTCTTGAACAGATGCCCCATGTCCTGAGAGCTGGAAGCCGAGTACGGTCGAGTTGAAAGGAGCAGTCCTGCACCAACCGTGGACTGCTTCTGCTTCCCGGACCTCCCCATCCCCCCAGAGTGGCCTGGGCTCGCTCTGCTTTGCCAGGCTGTGCGCGCCAAGTGTTGGCAGCGAGCGCTGCGAGCTGGTTCTACCTGCCAGCGCTGGTAGAACCAATTCAGCTACCTGCCCAGGCCTGCGGGTAGCGCAAGTTTAATTTTGACAAGTCACGCTTCTTCGTCTTTCGTTTCTTGCCACCTGCTCCAGCACTCCCCTTATCTTACATGCCTGATTGCATACCGCCAGCCGGGGACATCACCTGCCTGTTTTGCAATTACCCAGGCTCTGCAGGGGCCTGCCGGTTGTGCATGGTTGTGCGAAGTGTACTTGAATGGAAACATACTAGAACATAACCCAAAATCGTCTTCCACTTCTCACCACGTGCCACTCTTGCAAGCCCATGCTCGTTTCAGTGTCCCTCGCTACATGCCTGTCCTGCACCGGGTTGAGGATACCATGCAAACGGACCCACCTCCAAGTTTCAGCCGCCCCGCCCGCCGCCGCCTTCAGACGAGAGCTGGCATTTCTAATCCGGCTTAGGCCACTGCGTCGGAGATGCCTCGGCTGCCTGAAAAAAACCAGCAACATGGCGCGACATGCCATGATCCAGCGAGTGCTGATCCCAGTACTGTTGTGCAAGGCGCATCTGATTTCAGCTCTGTGCAAGCCAAAGGTTTCCCCTCACCTGCTACGTTGTTGGGGTTTCTTGTTCGGATATTGAATACTTGGTGAAACTGGCATCTGCGAGCCACAGGGCGGCACAAGACAAGGACACTGTCGCAAAAGTCTGGCTGCTTCGGACAATGCAAATTCTGTAGACACCCATCCCGTACTTCTGCACACCTCTGAAGACACTTGGGGTCGCACTGGCCACAAGCAACTATGAGCCGAATCAGGTCTGCAGAGCGGATTCGCGGCAACAAGGAGCTTTGCAGCCTGGGTGGTTAGCACCGCTGAAGCTGGTTGAACACTCTGCGTTTCTTAAACACGGGAAGGTTGGTCCTTGGTCTCAGGTGTTGCCAATGTTTTGACATGTTCCAACCTCCACACCCACAAATTCACCAATTCCAAGACTTGAGCCGCATGTCAATCTTGGGACAGTGCATCTCACGTTTGGTCATCGGCACGTCTATTCCCCCCAGACACCCCGTTGCCTTCTAGACCGACCCAAGCTCGCACACTCTACCACAGAAAGCCGTTTAAGACATGAGGCTTAAATAAGGGGAGAGATCGGCCAAGAAAAGGATCTGCAGAAACTCCCGTTCACGGCGGCCAATTGTCTTGTTTTTGCAGGCTGCATGACAGGTTTGCAATGAGAGACACATGCCCTCACCCTCAAATATTGGGCTGCGACAAGATTCGGGAGAGAAAAATTGCGAACAAAAAGCCCCAACTTGGAGAGACAAATAAAGCACGGCTAATGCTACATGACGAGGCTACACAAGCAAAACAAACTGCAAAGGCTAAGGAAAAGTGCGAGCGTCCGAGTACGAAGCTCTGTTTTACTTTGCTTGATTGCCGATAAGGCGCTCCATCGTCTGCAAAATCTTCCGGTGGCCTTGGACTGATCAGCGCGTTCGGTTTGCAAGTGCAGGCTAGATCACACCCGCAAGTCTCACAAAGTCCTGCACGGCACTTTGCTCCAGCGAAGGAACGCAACAGTGAGACGACCTCTGTTGCCTCAGGTGAATTGCTGCCATTTCAGCTCAGATGACAATTCCCATGAATCTGGAGCCGATCGTGCTATGTGAGGGCGGAATTGCCCAGGGTGTGATGCATCTCAACAGTTTACGTGGATGCTGAGTTGAGGTTACAGACCGAGCATTGACAAGGACAGGCAGCAATTTCCGGGCTGCAGGCTGTCGGGGATGCAAATGCTGGACTGGCACCTCAGCTATCACATCTCTGGCTGTCGAATCTGCACGCCTACTGCAAGAGATGCAAAAGGATGCAAAGCAAAGCAACATGCAGCAACAATGATTTGCAGCACTGGAAATTTGGCTCGGCAACTTGGGGGCGCGCACTTATCGCTATTTCGAGATAGCCTGTAGACGCACCTGCGGACCCAGACGCCCCAAATGAATCTCAAAGATGACAACTTCAACCGACATGGACCCAGAGGCATCAGTCTGCAGAGCCTGCTCTAGAATCCTAGCACAAGCTCGAAAAGTTGCTCTCTCTTTGTAAACCAGGCCCCCCAACAATTGCAACAATTGTGGATGGCAGGAATTTGAACTCGCCACTTCATTGAAAGGAATACAAGAATCCATGCAGAGATATGCAGAGGCAGACGCTCATCTCCAATCGCGCGGAAGATGCCAAAGTCGTCGCATCGAGCCCGGGATAGGTCATCGCAGCCTGAGCATAGCAAATGCTTACAAAGAGGGAAGGAAGGCAAGTCAACTTCATGTGGCTGCAAATGTGCATGGCACGGCCAGGCCAGGCTTGCTCAAAATAGGTCCAAGGCGCAGAAAGAAATACTAAGAGGAGGTCTGTTCAGGGATTGCTGAGGAACTTGCATTCCACCAAGGCGGAAGTGGGAATGGATTGAAACCTGGCAGTCTTCAAGATTGTCATAAGCTCTCCCCTTCATTCAGGCACAAGACCTTATAAATTTGAAGCCTCTGCAGTACAAATGAAGACCATGCCTGGCAGGTCAATGAATGGACAGCCTCAATTCCATGTCAGGGAAGCTGCACGCTGGGCCTCCGTGGATGCACCAATCTCGGAACAAGAGTGGTAAAAATTGTAGTTGATCCTGCACTGCATCAGGAATTTGGCGGCATCACAGCAATTGCGGCCAGTGTCTCCTTGACAGGGCGCTTGCATAGCGCAGCACTGGCCTGCTCCGTCGCCTGAAATACGGATCAGAGAACTGAATCAAATCGATTGAAAACGCAGAAGATATTCTGTTCAGTGTCAAGGTGCCAACGCATGCGCGCTCTGCGCGTGCAAGCATCCAGGTCATTGCGTGCGGAGCGGCTTGGAATGAATTCCGTCGTCTGCAGCCGTCTACATCCCACCACTGTGAATGGGAAAGAGAAGCCATTTGAACGCGATTACTGACGCATCATGCTGGTTTCAAGCTCATCTCGTTCTGGAATCAAGCCCAATGTAGGCTGCTGGCGTGAGCGATGCCTATTCTATGACATCAACGGTTCATCTCATGCAAGCCGAAATGCCCGGCAGCGAATGTTCCTTTGCATTCATTTGCCTGCTGCTAATCAAGACAAGGAAGACTGTCACCCAAGGAGCGCAAGGCTCGCAACCTGCATGGACGACTTACGAATTTTTTGCTGAATCCTGGAAGGATGTCTCGTGACAGCCCTCATGCTGGCTTGCACATGAGATTGCATTTACGGTTTTGGTGCCCCTCGCTAGCCCAATGCTCCAGCTTCATACCACACTCCGTCCGGTTTGACGTTTGCATTCTCTTCCCTCATCCCATCATGAAGGCTTTTTGCCATCAGCTTGTCACACACACCACGCTACGCTACTCTTCTGGGCATCAGCTTTCTGCCCACACAGGTAGGACTTGCTCAAAATTTGGGACTTTGATTGTGTTCTGAGATTTTGAGCAGGCCCTGCTAAAGGGTGGCGACACACTTGTGGCGTTCTTTGGTGTGAAATATCACGAAAGGTTACAAGATGTCCAATCCGTATATTCATGTGCTTATGACAAGCTGTGCTTCTCGAAGAACTCATCCAGTACGTGGCCATGAGGACACCCTATGCACAAGAAGACCAACGACCGTACATGCATTGCGTGCACCAGTAGATTTCTGAGTGGATGTCACATTTTCGTTAGCACCAGCACACTGATTCATGTGCTGACCATTGGCGCACTCTTAGCAGGCAGCCGACTGTTGGAAAATGGGCTCCCTGGAGGCAGTGCCTGTACACTTGCAGACTCAGGCTGCTCTGATTGGCGTCGATCGCCTCATCGCAGATATGCAAATCTTTGCAAGTTACTGGCTGCTAAGGCTCAGGGCATGAGCACCATCTGCCAGAATTCAGTCACCACGTCATCCAGATTTTAAAATGATTCACATTGTGAAAATGCTAGCTAGCACTATCGAAAAAAAATCACTACATACTACCCACCCCTACAGCTCGCTGACATATCGGAAGCTGAGTTGGCGTGCGCCGACTGAATGGGCGGCATGGACAGCGGGCTGGAACGTGAACCTGCGCAGCAATTATGCTGACTTGTGCGCCTTGCTGGACCGACCCCTAAAATGTGTGCCTGTTTTGCTGAGGCGGCCGTCTTGACCTGAAAACACCAGAGCAAGAAGAAAGCAAGGAAATGGCTCTTTGTTGAAGGCCAAGTCCTAGGGTCCTAGAAGCCGTGACTGTTCCTTGGAGCTCAGATGGATATGGATCTGCCACAACCAGGATGCCTAGATGACAGTCGTTTAGCACAGGACACTTGACAAACACCCTGCATTTGTGTTCGGGAAGGTTGCATGCCCTTCATTCACACAGCTTTGCACCTCCTGTTACCCCGCTCGCGACATGAACAAATTTACTCATTAGGTGGTCCGCCGATCCTGGCTGATCATAACACATGTCGACAAGCAACCAGAGTTGCAGCCGTGACTGAGCAGATCACATAAAAGCTAGAGTTAGAGGGGATACGCCATCCGGACCTCATTAGAAATTTTGGGGTAAGCATGCCGAAGCCAGAGCCCTTGAACGACTACACATCCACACTTCCCAAGAAGTGGGCCAGTCAGCGAGTCCACAATCGCACCTGTGAAGTCAAGTCACAGGTTGGCACGGCCAAGACAGCCTTTGGGATTGCTTCCGCGCCTGAGTTGATGGTAGAGTTTACAGTTGGCCCAAAGACCTCGGACTTGTCGAAGCTCACCGGTCCCTGCTCCAGCATGTCATGTACCTTGCACGGTCACGCACACACAGAACGTCATTTATGCACACCGCCCACTAGTGCAAGCAGCTGTGATATCTCCGACATCCAAAACAAAACCACAAGCCTGCGAGAGCATCTTCTCACGAAGGCCAAGCAAATCGGATCTGTTGTAGGTCTTGCGCCTGGGACTTCTCAGCACAGCTAGCAAGGCGTAAGTGGGCTTCTCAGTGACATGTGCAAACCAGTAAGCCAATGCAACACAGCATGATAGGGCCCTGGCGAGAACACCACAGGTGCGGGAGAGTACTGCAGGCAGGCCATTTTGAATCCTTGCATCCGCAGCCCCGCATCATTCTCAGTACCAGAGCAGCGAGGCTTGCAGTCATCCTTAATAGACATTCTGCCAGTGTGGCAAGGCGGCCTGAGAGGACGGTCTGCGCTTTCCCACAGCAGCTGAGACAGCGCTCGTCCACATTGATGATTGTTTGCCCGTCTGCCTGCACATTTTTGGGACTCTTTTCCAATGGGCAAACAAATGGGCTTTACATCTCGGAGGTCCGCAGAGCCTCACTCGTAGATGGCGAAGAAGCTCGGCCTCTGACGCTGCGGGTCCTAGATCCTGATTCGAAACAACTCAACACGGCAAGCTTGCTGCAAGCAGATGACCCTTTGGCACCTCGACATCTCTCTCCAGTCTGCTCTTCCTGTGCAAGGACCACAAGCGATGTCATTGATTTGAAGCTGCATAACAGGCGGCCTTGTAGCCCATTAAGGCTATCTTTGATCTGTCTTGGTCATCTTGAAGGTCCAACCTCAGCGTCCAACACCCCTGAATAGAGGTCCTTAAGTCGGCAAAGCCAGGTAAAGTCTGGCACACTTCATTTTGTGGCCTGGGAAGCAGACGCAGACGCCGCTCTTTCACACTGCACCTTGACAGGATACTTTTGGTGAGCTGCGTTGTCAGTGCACAAAATGCTTCAGCTTGGTGTCACTTGAGGTGCGGCATTGCAATTCACAGCTGCAAAGCATGCTGGCACCAGGGTCGTGACCATGGTCCAGATTGCAGCGCTCAAGTGCTCGAGGCTTTGCTTAACTTGCTGCGAGGAATCTTGCCTAAGGAAGGGATGGTAGATTTGTGTTCGCCAGCCAAGTCAAGAAGGCAAACCCAGCCAAGCTCCGAGCACGGTAGAAAGCTGCTTGGCAACAGCTTTGATTTCCACCTTCACTGTCTCTCCCACAGCTTGCCGCATTAGCAGGTAAGCCAAGGCAGGCTGCTCTGCCAAAGTCGCGCAGCCCCTTTCTGCAGTCAATCACACCTATAGCTCAGCCGGCATGGTATGCTGGGGACTGACCTCCTGGCTGTTGCGATCACGACGCCGGAGCTTCCCTCAGTATAGGAATTTGATCAGGGAAGTGTGGACTAAGCTGGCTGTCAGGGGCCACTCCAGAGGCAGGGCCCAGGCCAACCTCTTCGACTTCTGAGGTTACCTGCATGCAAAATCCTACTGCAAAAAATCTGCCAAATGATCCTGCGTCACTTGTGGCCAAGAGTGCAGCAGCTACAAGAAGACCCACAAGTGCCGCAGACATCCAGACGCCTGTCGAACCAAGTCCTCTGTCTGAGCTTGGGATTTGCCTGCAGCCGTTGCAATAGGGAACGTCCCACTCTATTAATGTGCTCTGCAGACCTCACCCTAATTCAAAGATCATGAGGATTGAAAGCGGTGGCAGGGGCACAAATGCTGTCTTCCAGCGCCCGGCGATATTCACCTGACGATGGCGAGATCCCAAATCATGCCATCAGCTGAGCTCAGACTGCTGGATGCAGTTGCTGGTAACGTGACGTGGGACAGTCCCATGCCCCATGCCAACTATCTTGGGCCACTGCGCTCAGACTGCATGAATTCATCCACCTGTTCATGGCTAAGCCGTGTCACAGGCACCACACGCAGTCAACTTGTAATCGCACAACAATCCTCATCGTTGGATCATGCATGGGATGCATGGACAAACACTAACTTTGTTGGCAAGCCTTCTTGCGCACCTGAGCTGCTTCATGCAACCTGGGTACAGGTTTTCATTGCTTCCCACCCACAATGCATGAATATTCCGCCACGGTGGCATCTGCGAAATCGCAAGCTAAGCAAGAACATGGCAGGAAGCAGTTGAAGCCAAGCAATCATCAACTTCAAGCATGAATCCAACGTGCGTGCTGCTCTGAGCTGGACACTCTTCCTGGTAGGCTGTCCGCACCTCCATGAGCATTAAAGACATGTTGAATGACTGCCAACGTAAACGACAACAGCTGGCCTCCTGAAGCATAGCAGCATTGTGAGCTGCCACCGTGTTGGTGGCCGTCTGAAAATGGGCCTTCATGTCCGCCATCATCCTGGGATCTGATATTGACTCCCAGGAGCTCTGTAGGGAGAGTGAGAGCCTCTCCTGTCCACAGTCTGCTGCAAAGCAGTCACGTTGTTGTTGGTCTCTAGGGTGAAGTTGTTGACCTGCAGGAGCCCGCCATTCACATCTTTAATTTCGACAGCCAACATTGGCATAACATGAATGATACACGTTGCAGGCATACTGTCTTGATGAAAGTAGGAGCGAAGGTGCTCATCTGTGCTGTTTGGCCTCCTCCTGAACCATCTGCAATTGGGCAATGCTCGCCTGCACAGAATACCATGTCTGAGCACACAAACCTGCCACGCAGCAGCTCAGAGAGCGACTGCGCACCTTGTCGTGCTTCATTGAAGCAAATTCCGTACTCATGCTGGTGACCTCATGTCTTGCTGCGCACAGCTAGGACGCACACGTGACTGTATCTGCGTCACTTCCTGCAGCTGCATACTCCTCAGGCACAAACCACCTCGTTCGTGTGAGACAGGTCATGCATGACCTTTGCAAGACCTGCACATTGCACCTTAAAAGCCTACAAAAGCCTAGGACCTGCATGTTAAGGCACAAGTGCAAGAGTGCAGACTTTGACTCTGCTTTCTCTCATTGCAAAAGCCCAACTCGCTCACATTCCCTCACTCTCTTCACACCTCCTACTTCTATCTCTCTGTATGTTGCCCCAGGCGCCTGTCTCTTCACCCCAGAGGTCGTCACTCAGCTTGTCATAGCGGTTCTCAAGGCTTACAAGCTTTACCTGCCGAGGGCCGTGTTTCGCTGCGATTTCTGTACTCTCGACATCTCTATCCTAGCGCCCTCCACCTTGCAACCTTCGGCAAGCGGTGCACATTCTTAGGGTGCATGACGATTCACAACATGCAAAGACAGGACACAGAGTCAAAGTCAAGGGAAGCGGAGGAAGTACAGTAGACTCACGACTTTAGAGTCCTAACCTTGCGCCTCTAAGTCCGTCTTGAAGACATTCAACATCTTGCTCTGCTGTGAAAGGCGCTTCTCCAGGTCCGCCCGAAGCCTGGCCACCAGTCTTTGCGACCCGAACAACGCACTAGCGTACCACTAACGTACCACTATGTCACTATGCATCTCCATCCTAGGTCCTGTCCTAGCTTATCATCCAGACGGAAGAAACAGATCTTTCAGGGTTTGGGGGCGCGACGAATCTCCCACATCCTGGACGCGGCCTCACAAATCAGAGTTCATTGGACGGTCATGCTCACTTGCGTGTGGCAGTCATGCAACACGGCATTGGCTGGAAAAGGCCAGATTATTGAGCCCAGCCTAGTTCACCCACGACACGGTCCACTGTGCGCTGTGTCCCTTGCACGGATGCATCCATGCCTCAGCACGCTTCGTAAAACTCTTCAGCGATGGAGAATCCACTTGTGCAAGCAAAAAGGCCATGTGTACACATGATGACATGCAGGCTCTTCAACATTAGTCAGCACGATGCACATGCCGTATCTGCCAGGCTCGGCACGCTCCAGCTCGTACCGGAAGACGTCCAAGTCCTGACCCGGGCCCAAACGTTTTCAACTCCTTCACGTGTCAGCTCTCACCCTGCAAAGTTTCTGCTACCTGCTGTGATGGTGTTCGTGTTCCGTGCTACGGTGGGCAACTGTTACTTCTTCGATTACGAGGTAGTCTACCTGTTTTAGTTTGATTGATGGCTTCGCTGTGAACACTGAAGGTGAATTGAAGAGACCAGAACATGGCCCAAGCACTCGACCTGGCTTACCACACACTTCTGAGGGACCTGTCTGAGATTGTACAACATTCGCGCGCTTGCTCTTTCAGAGAACGAAGGCATGTCACCAGGAAAGCATGTCATCAGCTTCCGCGTCAGCGGATGTGTTCTGGCGTTGCAGGAGGGGTTCGTCAAGATTTCATCAGCTACCCAACACTGCAGCACAGCTGCCTCTGTAGCAGCGACTGAGAAAGCCCCGAAGGCCAGTGAGGCCGTAATAGCTCATGTAGCTTTCTGCGCTTGCGAAGAAGGCGTCCAGTGCAGATGTGCATTCTGGCGGTAACTGAACTAAGAGCTGCCCGTGTGTATCTCGACAATACCAAGGAGCTTCGCGCAAGCGCAAACCATTCGGCATGGCCTCTCCTCCGAGGTACAGCGCATGCACTCTGGACAGGCAGTATTGGAGTCGGCGCTGGTGCTTTGTCGGGAGCTGACAGTCCTCAGGAAGCAGCGGCACATCTGCGATTTCCCGGGCTTCCGGACAGCAAAGCGGACATGGCCAGTGCTTCATCCCGCCAACACATTCCCGATGAAAACGGTGCCCACAGGGAAGGACCTCAGCGCTGCCCTCGGAGCAGTCCGCGAGACAAATCATGCAAATGCTGAAAGAATGTTCATCCTTGTCGACTTTCTGCATACGCTCGAGGTTTTCCTGGACGTGGTTGAAGCGGAGTCTCCAACAACAGCTCGCCACGGAATCTAAGCACGTGGCAAGTGGAAAGAGCAGACACTGCAGTGCAACAAAGAGCAACGGAAGGATCACGAAAAGCGTCAGCGCTGGTAGGCTTATGAACACGACAAGGACCGCAAAGACGTAGACGATCGTCCGCTCCACAGGTGAGAGTCGGCCTCCATGCGTGTCATAGAGATACTGGAAGATATCTTCGCTTGCTGCCAAGATGGCCTCCCCAACTTTGCCTTTCTTTGTAAGTTGCTCCATGTCATCCAATATGCTTGCAGCTGTTCCGTCCGGAATCCTGTGTCGGGCATTCGAAGCAGTTTTCAGGTATCGCATGCCGTCATCCACACTTAAGAAAAGGAAGATCCCGTTACCGCATGAAACATCGCCGACACTCCAAGAATCACTTACTTGGTGCGCGAACCTCTCAGCTGTCCACTCCTTGGATCCGACCCAAGCGGATGATGCCACTCTTCGAACCACCAACACAGCTGCTTGGAACGTATGGTTCCGTCCATCTGGGCACTCCAGCCGTGTCTTGTGGTTGATGTTGTAAAGAACGCTCAAAATCTCTTCATGGAGGTCTTCTGAGAGCACCCTGTCTGGATCACACAGCCTGCCTTCAGCCACTAGGCCACATCGGTGTGGATGCGTGGTTGGATTGGGCACGGACTCTGGCATCCACGTTACCAACTTGGGCTTCACGGCCCGATGGACCATTGCCAAAGCTGGCCAAAGGCCAGCAACAGCAAAGCAGAAGAGGCGCGCATTCGCCATTCCATGGATTAAGGCAAATTGAAATCCTGGTGGGGTGTCCAAGGAGGGGCTTCGGTACCAAAAGCCCACGGGTGATGGGCTAATGCCATCCAGAGCCGAAGTGGCCGCATTCTGCCTCGTCCAAAAGACCTAGCAGCCACCTGGTCGCCAAACAACGTACTGCTCATGCCATGCTGCTCTAATTGGCGTGCATCCCGAGAACAACAGGTTAGAATGAGTTCACTCTTCTGTCCCATGATCATCATCATCATCATCATCATCATCTTTTTTCCAGGCTCGCCAGAACATCCCATGCCTCAGAGCTTGATGCAGCTGCCCATACCTGTGCCAAGTTGGCATAGTGGCACAGACCTAGCATCTTAGAACCAGTGGACACCTGACAATGATTTTTAAGCCCACAACCTTGATACCACCACAAGACGGCAAGAAAAAGTACCACTAAAAACCAACCAGCTGTAGGCCAGGTCTGGATGCTTCGTACTTGGAACCAGCGCAACTAAATGACAAGAATTTCAGCATGGATTTCTGACCTCCTCGAAGCACCCGGAGCGCAGAACTGGATCCAAGATCACCTTCATGCTTCAGCCGCTGGTAAAGAACAGGCTTGAAACTATTGAAGCACCAACATGATCCGGTCTGGCCTTAAGCATGTCGTCCAGAACTGCAGCCCGAGCCGCGGTTGCGGCAGGATTGCCTTCATGCTGTCCAGAAACCCACCGGCTGCACAGTGTGATGGTCCACTGCCTCGGAGTGGAAGCAGGGCCGGGCCCTGATTCACCTCCAGAAGGGCAGAGACTACAAAGCTGGAACCGTTTCTAGCTGCTGGATGCGCTCCAACCCGCACCTCAAGCAGCCAGGGTCGCCCTGCTGCGTCGACGAGCACATCCGCGCCCAGGATTTCAAAGCTCATTGCTGCGCCTGGTATTCAAATCTGCACGAACGCTCTTCATGCCCAAACTGTACATTTGAGGTCATGATCGATGATGCTGGTATTGCTGGATGTCTCCAGTGTATCATTGTTCTTTTGGAGTTTTTGCTTTCAAGGGTGTTGGCAGTGCTCTCGTTGCTGTCATCTTAGGATTGCTCGGGTCGTTAGTCACCACGGCCATCCTTACCATGGTGTTTTCTTCCGGGTACAAGTACTTACCAGAAGTATTGTTGTGAGCATTTGCCTTGAAGCTGCTAGTGGTACGGGTCCCACCATAGTAATTACGGCAAGTACGGTAGCCATAGTACTTCCCAGTACTCTTCCGTCTCCTCCTCATCCTAAAGTTGCACCTGCTACTACTCCTACTTGCAAGACTCCAACAACAATCGTCAGTGTCACTGTCAGCCCTTTCACCCGCCTGAGTCGCTTGCGCCTACGAAGCTTTCCAGAAATGGCTCGAAGATGGCCTCCACAACCAACATATTACACCATGGATGGCCAAGGAATGGCGTCTCACGACTGGATGGAGCATACTGCGAGAACAGCACAGTGGAAATTGACTCATCATGCACTGTTATCTTCGCTGAACATCTTCGGGCCTTGAACATGATCAGGACCGCTGGCCAAACAGCTTGAGCTTGGGGAAATGTTCTGCTGCTCCGGCCTTGCACACCTTCGAAAACATCCAGCGTGCTGTGCACATGCCGCGCCGGTGATGGATCAGTGGCATCATACGGCGCAGGATGTGACCGGCAGATGAACTCGCGCCGCACCAGCGCCATTGCAGAACAGAATGTTTCGTGCAAGAGCGAGCGCGACACCACAAGCAAGTAGATGCGGAAGGTCAACTTGCGGCCAGAGTCGTCCAGCAGAACTGCGGGCACCTTATCAGCTCTACAGCTGTCAACCTGCTGGCTGGGTAAAACCTGTATTGAGACTGACAAGAACTCTCATGAAAAGGCTGTAGAACTTTCAAGCAGTTTCCGATGTCCCTGGCTTTCCTCCGCGTAGATTTTGAATCCAGGGGTGCATCTGCAGCTGAACTGTACACAGTTGGCATGTGCTAAGGAAGCCCAAACAGCGTCCAAGAAACTTAGGTGGAACAAGAAGCTGCAGGTGAGTGTGGGTGGGAAACCTGCATGATGAAGAGATTTGCCTTTCACCGTCTGCCCAAGCTGATTCTCAATATGTCAATATCCTCACGGCTTGCTGACGAGGCACCTCCCGTTGAGCAATGTAGTTATCTTGCTCCTCTGGTTCCATGGACAACCATGCACTTTGGCAAGCCTTTGCCCCGAGAAAAACGGACACCCCCTCATTCCGCTCTTTGCAAGCATGCTTGAGAAACCAAAGCGTCTCGCTGTCAGACTCTTTGAGTCTGTCCATGTCATGTGGCGAGATAGTTGTGAACGGACCCCATGCGCTTAGACCTTCGTGTCTCGCCAGGAAGAGGGCAAGCCGCTTCTTGTCCCCAAGTTCCGCACACGCGGCTAGCGGATGAAGTTGGATCAATGCCGGGCGACTTTCTTCCACCATGCCGCGCTTGGAGGGCGGTCCCTTTTGAGGCCGCCATGCAGCGAAAAGAGCCTTTTCTCCACTCAAAGCTGCTTGGAGCCCCCGATCTCTTAACCGAGCAGGAAGTGCCCACGGCATGTTGGAGTGGAAGGTGGCGGACACTTCCCTGAAGCCCATGCAGCCTTCGTGAGCACACCGCCTTAGGCACGGATCAAAGCGGGTGAACGCAAACCATAACTGACAGAGGTGAGGAGCTGAATCTGCCAAGCCGCAGGGCCATGCCAGTTCTGGCTGCAGCTCTGCGCCATAGCCGCGCGGTCAGAAGAAATTGGTTGTCCGCTGCCCCGCTCGAGAGAGCACACTAGTGACGTTTCCCAAGCATGCATGTGGAACGAGGTCATCTAGCCCAGCACATGCCGAAAGTTCAGGCAGTCGACTAAAAACGCAGCAAAGCTATCCTACAGAAGACCCTCAAGATTTGCGACACCCCTTCGCCAACCGCTGCCAAGCACTCTCCGCGTTGGCATCATTGAGCAAGACTGCACGAAGACAAAAGAATGCCCATAGACGACATGTTCGGATTTGGGTGTCGTTTCAGCTTTGGCTGGGGAAAGCCCCCTTGACATTGTGAGCTGCTGGCTCTTAGTCTCGCAGTGCTTCTCGCTGTGCGACCGTACAAAAACAGCTAGCTCGCATGGTCGCTCACGCGGGTCCTGCTTCATGCAGCTCAAGGAGTCCGTTGCAGTTGCCTGCCACTGCCTGGGCGGAAACTGAGGCTTCTTGACGAAACAGCCACACAGACTTGCGTGAGTTACAAGGCCACCAGCCAGGGGCGTCGCTTCCGCTCGGAGTCATACTTGGCCAGCTCTATCCTGAAGTTCTCAATCGTAGCAACCTGCCCAGCTCAATTGCCCAGGACTGAGAGTGAGAATGCAAAAATCCAGCGGATTCAAAAGTGGTACGCCTGTTGCTCGACTTTGTTCGCCGTTAGCCTTCAAGTCTCTCAGAATCCAAGCACGGGGCGTTGTCCAGTATGGTGGGCCATTGCATATCTGCATGAGGGCTTCAGCAGCCGCAATCGGCACTGAAGCTTGTTGTTGACAAACACAACATCCGTAGCTGAATCAGTCCATTTCAGCCAGCACTTGTCCGATGTTCCGCAACATATCTTGTTATCAGCTATGGCCGAATCAGCGTGGAGAACAGCAGAACGTGCTTTGGGGCAACAGCTAGGATCCAGACATCAGCTCGGAGATCTGGGCGGACTTCAACTGCAAGTCATCCTGCCACAGGTCGCATGATTCATCGTCAGGACCTGTTTCTGCGCTCGGTCCAGGCCTGGACCTGCGTGACATCATGCTCAAAGGCCTCACTGCTGAAGCAAGGTATTACCAGACGGATGTGTTGAAGCTCATCATCAGCACATCTGAAACCCAAGGACGGGACAGCTGCTCTGCGCACGGTCGGGCCAATGAGATCTAAGCAGTGCCTCAGTGAAGGCGTGTTTCCATGCAAGCATCAAGGGCCATGTTTCCGGCAAATTGAGGGCAAGCGCACACAGGGGGCCATTATCTACCTACTGTTTGCAGGATCACAAAGAAACAGATCATGAACTAGCTGGCAAGAGACAATGTGTCAGCACATGCCATCAGGACCCTCCAGACGCCCAAGACCTGGCCCAGACATCATGAGCATGGTTGGGGCCTAGCCTCCAATCAGAGCACAACCAAGCCAACCAGATCAATCAGTCGGCGGAAGGTTTCTGCAAACAATCACCCCCAGGCTTGCAGAGCTTCCAATCTTCAACTTCTCAGGCTCTGACTGGCGCAAGCGGACCTGAAAAAGCTGCTTGCACGGTTACCCGGACGCAATGAACTTTCAGTGCGACCGCCGTCGACAACTAGCTGGAACAATCCATGTCCTACAGATGCTTGTTCGGATGCAAGGAAGGTCTTACATGCGGGCTGCCACTCAAGTTCTTCAACAGCCACGCGGCCTCGAGGTTCGCCATCTGCACTTCGTGCTCACCTCGAGCTGCAGCCCAGAACAGCCTGTAAACCTAGAGCCTCTAGAGCCTTCCGGAAATGTGACGAGACCACTTTCAGACTTGCAGTTGCCACAACAACTCGAGGCAGCCAGACTAATCTTGTATTCCAACCGCTACGAGTATCTGCTAACACGTACAGGCAGCGCCGCGGCCTTTCCTGTCACATCCCTGATGACCAAGAGCCAGACTTTGGGTGATACCACCAGGAAGCGGCGGGATGCCTGGGACAGCCAGCAGTATGTAGAGGGGGCCCTCACCAGCTCTCTACGCACAAAGCACGGACAAGCATCAACGCAGGCCACACATGTTTTCAGGTTGGGGCTTGGAGCTTGGGCAGCTTCTTCCAGCATTTTCTCGTAATCCTCAACGCAAGATGCGGTTGAGACCCAGTGAAATCCGGCTAGGCCACCAAGGTTCTAACCACAGGCTCCACTTTCTCATCTAGATCTAGGTGGGAAAGATCCACGCCTCTGAACAAAGCAGGCACGCAACGCAATTTGTGGTCAGCCCAAACATCCAAAGTCAACAGCAGTGTAAGCTCCAGGCTGCCACGCGGAGGCGTGCTTCGGGCAGCTTCATCGGTTCGAACCATGGCCGTGGCGCCGAGGCGACGCGCTGTCACTCGGCTAACCGGTTAACCCAAGAGCTCGGATTGAAAGAGACGCTACGTTGTCTTTTTCATATGCTGGTTTCACTCTTCAGTTGGTGGACTGGCTTCAGATTGGGAATTGCCAGATGGCTATCTGCATGTGAAGGAGCATGGAATCGGCTTATCAGCTCATCTCTTCACCCTGACCGAAGCACAGCAGGGATTAATCATGCTGCCAAGGGTCCAATGCAGTATACTATCCAACTGAAACACCGAATTTCAGAGCAGCTTTTCTTGCCTAAATCAATGGAACAACCAGTTGGAGTCTTTGCTCCAGTTTCTTTCTCACGAGCATTAGCGGTTCGTTTACTTCCAGCTCCTTCTGTGCCGGAGGTGGCCCCGGTCTTTGTGGCCACCGCACCTGTTCTATGTACATGCACCCATCCATACGGGCGCTTGGCACTAGTCGTCGATGCCATCCAATAGCGCATCCTTGCAGGGACTGAAGCCAGAAAGAAAAGGCCGGTGAAACTGGGTTACCCTGCCCAGCTCTGGATAGTCTCTAAATGCAGCATCTATTTGGTGCCTTTTTGTGTTCTTTTGGTCGATCTTTTGTTTCAGGGGAATTCGTGCGTTTGCAGTCTGATGGAACGCGTAACAAGAAGCAGGAAACTCATGACAGTTGCCTCGGACACATTGAAATGCATGTTTTAGCCTACTGTTGATGGAGGAAATCCTGCACCTCATAGGGTCTCCAAACTACAGTATTTCAAAGGATTTCAGGCACTTTCAGTGGTGCAAGATTTCCAACATCAACAGTATGTTTGGAAGTGTAACAGGCAGGAGATGCGTGGCAGTTGCCTCCGACGCATTGACATGTGCCTTGCTACAATATGCTTGTGCATGTAACAGGCGCAAGATGAGAGACAGTTGCCTCCGACGCGTTGACGTGTGCCTGGTTGCAGTATGTCTGGACATGTAACAGGCGCGAAATGCGACACGGTTACCTCCGACGCATAAGCATAGTGTAGAAGGCGCGAAAGGTGTGACAGTTGCTTCTGACGCGTCACGTGCCTTTTATGGTGAAGTGTATGTGGGTACAAGAGGCATGAATTGCGTGACAGTTGACTCCAACACCTGGAAACTATGTCTCTCACTTTGTCTGGATGTCTAGCCTTTGACGCATTAAGAGGGGTTGTTACACAGTGTTTGGAGTGCACTCGCAAACCGTTGAAAGACGAGGTAATGTGGATGAGGACTCACTATTTGACATGATACGGGCTCATGTTTGTTGGGGAGGGGGAGCGGGGGGGGAGGTGGGCGCAGCTTGAGAGTTTGCAAAGCATTGACAAATGTGGCAGGGCAGTTCTTGATGAGGATTCACTATTACAACGGATACAGGCTCGCGATTGAAAACGGCAGGGAAGTTGGGCGGGGTCCGCATCAGATATGGGACAGGCTCGGGTAACCTTAGCCGGCACACTTGCAAACCATTGAAAAAAGAGACCATTGAGCAATGTGGCAGTTTCTCGATGAGGATGCACCATTAAAGACATGATACCGGCTCATGCAACCTCGCCCACTCGCAACCCAAGGAAAGAATATACCAATTATGGATGAGGGTTCATCCCTGAACACAATACGGGCTCATGTCCCCCATTTGCAAACCATTGAGGAATTTGCCAGCTTGTTAATGAGGAGTCACGATTCATTGTACTGGTCCGTGTGTAGATAGAGTGGGGGGTCGGGGCGGGCAGTCTCACCCATTTGCAAGGCGTTGCGGAATGTGGCAGCTGATGCGGTCTCACAATTAGACTTGATACGGGCTCACGTTTAACAAGACGCGGAGCAGCCACCCCCCCTATTTGCAAACCATCGAGGAATGTGCAACTTGTTGATGAATGCTCATTTTGGACATGATGCGGGTTCATGCTCAAAAACGAGCCGGAGGACCAAGGGACAAGCGAATTGGGGACCAGAGGACAGGGGATAAGGGGACCAGAATGCTGCAGGACCATGGGGCCAGAGGACCAGAGCACCAAAGGCCGGGCCAGAGGACCAGAGAATCAAAGGATGGGGGGACCAGAGCACCAGGAACCAGGAAACTACCGGACCAGAGGACCAGGACCCGAGGACCACGGGACGCCAGACAAGGGGACCGGAGGACCGGGGAACAAAGAAGACCAAACAAAAAGCAAAGCACAACCTCCAAACGGCAGACCGTAAAAAGCGGAAAGCGAAAAGCAGAAAGCAGAATGCAAAGACAAAAATGCAACGCACGAAACCGAAAGTATCCCAAGTAATTGGAATTCCGTCTCTAAATGCGGCCCAACCTTGTCGTAAGCCAGCCAAACCACTCTCTCCCCCGGCTGCTTCTGCTTCGGAGGTTTAGTGATTCGCCTGACACATGCCAGGCAACAGCTTTGCAGCTGCTTCTCGCACAAGTGGCGGTAGCAGCAGCTTGCAAGATAATGTGAGTAAAGCTGGTTCTTCTTCTGCGCAGCTTTGTCGTAGAGAGACCCCAGCAGACCAATGTACACATTCATCACCACAACTGTGACACCAAGGCTTAAGGCCATGAACTCGAAACGCACACCTCTGTGATACTTGTCACTCCAGTCAGCGGGGTCTGAGTCTACGTCGCCCTTGATGGTACCATTCATGCTCCGAGCTACTAGCTTGTCGTTGATGCCCTCCAATTCATTCAGGTCGAAATCTCCCAATACTTCCAAGCGGAAAATTTTGAGAAAGGTGTCGAGCACCTTGTTTGCCCCACCAACATTTTCTTCGATTGGGAACACGCTGTATGCTTGGAACGACCCTGTGAGGATAAAGACCAGAAAGAACAGGAAATAGACAGAAGGAGGCCGGCTGACTGCATGAACTATGGGAACCACGCGGCGACCGACCTGCTCAATCTGCAGGAAGTCAATGGCCAGCAAGTTCCATCTAATCAAAACTAGAGCTGATATCATCACAGGATGAGTCTCAAAGAAACTGAAGCCTGTCAGGTGCGGGTCCAGGACACACGCCATGAATCGAAAGCACACGAAGATTGTGAATGCCTCTGACAGCACGATCAAGGCATTCCAGAGGGTCAGGTGCTTTCCAATTGCGGCAAGCAAGCTTGTAATGCAGATGGTCTTGTCCACAAACAGGCAGAGGCCGGTAAGGATTTTGCAGAGAGATGAGAAAAAGACCCAGCCACCCAGAAAGACGAAAACAACCAGCAGTTTGTGCTCTGGCTTCTGCTGTGTCTGCACCTTCCGCCCCAGAAACACCAATAAGACGACAAAACATAGGTTGGTCGCTACATTGAGACCTCGTAGCCAGAAAGTTCTGTGCAAGGCTTCTCGCAGGAGCGCCTTGCCAACGACTGTATTGAAGCATTGGCTGCTTTGGCCAGCATCTACGAGTGCTTTCAGGGTCACAGCGAGATCTCTGTCCAACAACTCGAAAAGCTGCACAGCGGGTGAGATAGAGTAGGTGGCTTTGTAAAGTAGGGAGCGTTGACCACTGAATACCTTACCTCCAAGCTCCTGCAGTACCTGCCATGTTTCACTACATGCAACTACGAGCGATTTTGGCTCAAACTTCTCGATGCTGATGCTGGCAAGGAAAGACTCCATTTCGTCCGCCTCAGTGAAGCCTCGAACCTCCTCACAGCCTACAACATTAAAGTTCCGCTCTGACGGGGCAAAGAGCTCCCAGGGAGTAAGCTGAACTGGCGAGGATGCATACAGCTCGATACCTGGCATGTCTCGAACGCGAGCCTCCACTCTGGTCCAAGGGAGCTCCAGACTTAAGCTTTGCAGGAAGGAATTCAGATTCTCCTGGCCGTACTCAATGCGCAGAAGTGTTACTTTCTCAGCGAAATCTGTTGGGGTCAAGGAATTCAGAGCGCGAACCCAGTCATGAAACGCTGTCTCCCACCAGCTCATCATGTCCATTTGCTTCTCCACCCTGCTTTCGAACTGCAAGTCAGTCTGATCTCCAGATGCAATGCACAGAAAGTCTGACTCCTCGAGTTCAGCCAAAGTCTTCCTCCAGAGTTTCTCGACTTCTAGCAGCCGCAGCTTTGCAGTTACCTTTTCCTTCCCATTGCCTGGCCATTTGGATACTTGCATCGCTTGTTGACGTTGATACTTGCAGTACCGGAGCACTTTCAGCCTCTCGCAGCTAACAGCTCCCAAGCACAGTAGCCGATACTCATCAGCGCAGTACCGCGCAGCTTCTCTCAAAGCGTGACCCTTTTTGGCAGTAGACATGATATCCAGCACTCGGGATCGAGACTCTTCCGTTGATGATCTTCTACTCCTACTGGCCTCCTCATCGTCGTCTAAATCATCATCATCCTCATCAGACTCCGTGTCACCGACTGGAACGAACTTCACCCTCGAAGCCATTGCTTTAAGATTTCCTGTATCTTTAAAACCTACACATGATTGCCATTGATTTTTTGTTGGGATGAAGAACTCACAGATTGCGACTCTGGTCATGCTCTTGGAGCATCTGCTTTCACAAGTCGCACTTCCAGCAGCGGACCAAATCAAGGTGCAAGCTTATCAGCTAATGCAAACTGCTTGTGCGGACTTCTGTTTTGCCATTTCTCTGCTCCGCCCAAGCTTGCTCAATTCGAGTTCTAAGGAAGGACGCTTGGTTCTCTGGTTGGGCCGGCCAGTCCCAGTAGTCCACCTACTTCTGATGCACAAGGGGCTTAATGATCCAGCTGAGCAAAGCTCCCAGCCTGCACCAGCGAAGCATATGCTGCGAGCACGCGCTGCTTCAGTTCGCAGCTAGCAAGGAGCTGCTTGCTTCCGGTGTAGAAGCCTCAGCTCAAGCTGTGTTTATGGTCCGTGCTCCCCTGCCAAGTGGCTCAGCCCTTTTCGTGCAAAGCTGCATTCCTTGCTGCAGACTTCCACTGCAAGGGGCATCTCGCCAGGCCTGCTCAGCCATGGCAAACAACGTATCCCTACTGCCCAGCACCTGCCGAGCCCATCGACGTCCTGCGGAGCAGAAGGTCAGCGCGGAAGCCATGCAGTGGCCAAGCGACACGAACCTCGTCGCCGGACTCCTTGCAGGTGCACAGCACTTTCCCAAAAAGAAGCTCTTCTGCTAGCCCTTACACCAAAACCAGGAAACTGCCCTTGCGTTCTGTGCATCTGTGTCCTGAAGCCGCTGCAGCGTAGCGAAAACCGAGCGCAGCAGGGCTGAGCTTGGCAGTGGCGACAAGTCGTGCTGCGGCCCAGTGGCAGAAAGCACCTGTGCATAAATAAGCAAAGAGCAAATCGAAGCTTGCTGACCGCATCCGTTTCAGGGAGTAACTGAGTAGCTGTTCAGGAGTCTAGAACGCAAGCACAGACAGACCTCTTCCGCCCAATCCGCTAGCCAACAAGCTTCCTCGTGGCCGGGGACCTTACAAGGTAATCATCTACGGAAAGCAGAAAATTCTAGCTGACAACCGATGTACTGAACAAAGCTTGGCGCAGAACTTGCTGAAGCCAGGCATAGGATGCGGCTGCAAGCTCACCAGCACACTTTGATTGAAGTGCTGCATCATCTAGCGAGTTTTGCTGGCACTGTCTTTTGGCTGCCACACAAAGGCTTGTGACCGACCTTTCGGAAATGCAGGCGAAGTCCAACAAAGCTGCCGCGAAAAGGTCCGCTGCCAGCGCTGGCAGCGACCTTTGCCAAGTACCACTTGCAGATCCCAGTGTTCCGTCGATGCTGACCAGAAAAGGTTGCGAAGGATAACCCAGCGCGCCAAGCGGTCTTAAGAGCCTTCCAGCAACCGTCGCACCAAAGTCAATCTGGCTACTGTCATCTGCAGGCAAAGCCTCAAATACTTCAACATCTCGCACATTGAAGTGCGCGTGCAAAGCCAGCACGGCCGCAGCTGTGCGCGGTCGTAGAGCTTGTCGAGCAGCAAGCTCAAGGGTTAAAGGGCGGACAGCTGCAAGCAGCTTCTCGTCAATACCTATGAGGGTCTTCAGTGAGCCTTCAGCAATGCGTTCGAGTGCCGCTGCTAGGCTGTTTACGAGATCTGAAGTTCCTGGCTGTGCAAGGTTGGCAAGCTCATCCTTGGCAGCGGCTGCGAGCCTTGCCAGGTACAGGCGGGATGCCTCGCGCGTCAACGTTATGCCGCAGGAGAGGAAGGCCTGTGCAAGGAGTCCCAGATCGACGAACGAGCTGAATCGCAACACGGGCTGAACCTGCAAAGGCTCGCAGTTCCGATGGACTTCGAAAGGACTTGCTTGAATCTAGCTAGTCACCAGCATCTTGTTGCACGCCCCATCCTGGAGCGCCGCCACCCCGAGGAAGGCAGCGCGGCCAGTCGAAGGCAGCCGAGCCAGGCTGCTGCAAAAGAGAGCCATCTGCGAGGAGGAGAACTGCCCAACGTGTTGCAGGCCAGCTGCGGCCAGCGCTGCATTGAGTTCCTCTTCCTTCCAAATTGTGACGAAACTTTCTGCAGCGAAACGCACAAAGAAACCACTAAACGCTACAACTCCTGCAGGATGCTGAGCTTCACTGCGGAACTTGCCAAGTGAGCCAAATCCTGGGATGGTTGGACACTGGTAGGACATTTCCAGCGCCAGGTGGGATCAACGCCTGACACTTGAGCACCTCTAAGGCCCCTGCTTGGCTAGCTCTAACGAAAACTTCGTGGTGTCAAGGACTGGCTACCGTTTCTGAGGGGAAGAAGCAGTGACAATCGGATTACGTAAAGAACGTAGCAACTTGGAAGACGCCAAGCCAAGCATCCTCCGGGCTTGCCAGCTCCTGCCAATCATATTTGGTGGATTCTCATGTCTATTTTGGGGTTTCACGGTTCTAGACTTCTAGACTGTCCGTCTGTCAAAGGTGGCTGCTCTTGCACCTCAGACACATAAACTGATGCTCTTGGAAGATGTAACATTCAGTGCGCGGTGCTGTCGCTTCGTTCTCTTGGTTAAATCACAGCCAGCAGATCCCCCAATTGTGCATGCTTTCCTGGAGATGCCCTTGCGAAAGCCAAAGCCGCATTAGACTGCGAAAGAGGTCCGGCGCCAGGCGTTCAGTCCTTCAGCTGAAGGAAGTTTTCAAATTGAGGAAGGGGTCTTCATCCTTGCTCCAGGCTTGCAGCTGCGCGTCACGCTGCCGCACCGGGCCACCGCATCCAGCAGCAGCGCCGACTGCGTGAGCGTAAAGTCGGCAATGCAAGGCCTCCACCGGACAAGGAACATCACTGCGTGGTTCAAAGCCATTGTCCGTTTTTTTACGCTGAATGAAATTCCCAGCCTGACGGAGCTTTCCACCACAATCTCGAACAGCTCTGCATCGCATTGTTTCACGACAGCGAAAGCATTCAACGCCATGGTGGCAGCCGCGGGCGGCAACAGCGCGGAGGAGGCATCGGTACGAAGGCGCTGCGAGATCTTTGCCCAGCAAACTTTGTGCATGAGGGCAACCCGGGAGAAAGCGTTGGCCAAGCTACTGACATCAATACTCTCTAGCTCCTTCATGCTGTTTTCTTCGAAGTGCGTCGTCACAGTCTCAAAAATGTCTTTGCTGCACCTGGAATGAAACAGGTCGGACATTGTAAGTTGCATAAACCAGCGTGAGTGCGCTTGGTAGCCTGAGCTTCGCAAGGGCTATTGCCACAAAGCAAAGGTCTTTGGCTGAAGCCTGCGGATCTCCTGCGGGAGGTCTCACTGAATCGCCCGAACCGGCACATCTCTTCCACAAGTTCACTTACCACAAGTTCACTTTACGTGACAAGGAAGCAAGGAGCCGGAGACGTCAAGCAACTTTCGCTGGACAGCTGCGCAATGCTGCGCAGCTAGCAAGTCCACGAGGCTGTCCTTTCCATGAGGCATCCTCAAGGAGGTCGCGGAACAGCGAGATGTCCTGCAGATCTACGAGCCAGGCAAGACATGCTGGATCGTTTCACTCGCGTTGCTTCTGTTCAGAGGGCCCCTCTCTCATTGCTTCCGAATCTTCCTTCTTCGCAGCCGCCGCATGTCCCTGAAGAAGCCGCCTGAAGCGAAACAAGATGTGTCTCTCTATCTTCTCTCTGGGATCTTGAAGCATCAAAGGCGCCGTAGGTCGCGCAGGGTCAAGCGCCTCCGGACTTCGGAGGCCCGCGCGGCATAGGCCCGCCACAGCGTCGGGGACGTGTGGCGGCCTGCCAGGAACAACTCATGGCTCTTCCGAGTCCTTCGAAAGCTGACTCAAACCCCCGAGCCTGCTCCAGCACTGGCGATGGCTGAGGCCAATACATGCGGCGCCATATTCTTGACCTGGCTGCATGCCAGGATTTTGATGTGCAAGTGCATTCGCAACAACTTGGGCCGAGGGCACCTCTCGCAAGTCAAGCTGAAAGTCGAGCAACGGCGACCTGAAAAGGAACCGTGCGATTGGCACGGCTCTCTGCTGCGTTTGGGATGGGAACAGCACCACGGACTAACAGGAGATTACAGCTATGTACAGCTCTTTCAGCTTGGCCTGGCTTCTGTTTTCTTCGGCTTTTCTCTTGCTGCGGAGCATCCTGAGGGTGGATTGAGCTGCGTCCTTGCCTCTTCATCAACCTGCACTTTACTAGATCCCTCAGGGCCCGGCCTCGGCTGCCGCGGCTCTTCCGCAGCCTTGCAAAGGTTTGGGACGTATCGCAAGCCGAAGACATTGAAACAAGGGGAGCGGGCCTCCAAGCAGCCCACACAGACCGCCTATGTAACACAGGAGACGCACAGGTCATGGCTACCAACTACCCGGACTCGAAGGCAAAGAGGTGCAGGCTTGAAATCAGAATTTGGGATTGGGGTGGGGGACGGTATGATGCTACGGAATGCCTGACAGCAGGCTTGCGTGCAGCATGCTTTTTTTGTGCTGTCTCTGGTTGCGGCCCATTTGGCTCAGAGCCAAAAAGGCTTGCGAACGGTGGCTCCGCTGGCATGGATCTTGCAAGTGATGGGACCATGCAGCACTGTAGCTCCAGAAACTGTCGCCTATATACTCCTGGCCTACTTGGTCTTGGGGCGCGACATTGTGTCGCAGGATCTTGCGCTTAGTTCACGTGTGCGAAGATTTGTGACATTCAGCACACTGAGAAAAGTATCCTAATGAATGGTCACGGATCAGAAAAACTAAGTACTCTTTATGGTCGCACATTGGAAAAACCAGAATTGCAGTTTTGGCGACGAAAGCAGCTAAGGGCTGTATCTTTGGTGTGCTGGCTGCAGTAAGTGGCTGCTGCATCCATGCCGGAGATTCGGCTGCCGAGAGCCAAGTCAGAATGCAACTCCGGGGATCGGGAGCTTGTTTGCGAGTCTGGTGTCACAGCAGCCCTGTTCGACACGGAAAGGTCTGGCTGCAGCACACGCGAAGGCGCAGGACGGAGAATGCGAGCAGCTTCTGTCCGTCTCACAAATCACGCGCCTGAAATTTTGCATTGAGATTCGCTTGATCGATCTAAACTGGCTGTTTGTTCCGAGCTTTGGGGTTCCGCGAGGACTCCATTCCACCATCCACCAACCAAAATGTAACCTTCGCCATCAGGATTTCAACTTCGGACCTGCTGTCAGCGCCCAATCATGGACAACTTCGCGATGTGAACGGCTTCGGCTTCACTCCAGGGTGCCGAGGGCTGTTGTGGAAGTCGTCCATCGAGCACGGCTCAGTCCTTTCACCCAGAGTACCCACAGTGCTTGTTGTAACCAGCAGAGCTGCAGCTTGACTCATTCCAGCATCCTCGGCCAATATGCTTTGAGGCAAGTGCGCAGTCAAGCAGACTTCTGAAGAGACATCGTGTGCATTGATGTGCAGCGAAAACTCTCAAACGTAAATCTCAAAGACCAAGGCACAGAAGCTCTGCTCCCACCTGGCCGGGCACATAACATGACAGTCGAAAACTTGGCAGGCTTCGAAAACCACCATTACCAAAGCAGGATTCACGGCCAAAATAGGGGGCAGGGAGTTGAAGAAGCGGACACCAGACAAAGGCCTCCTGAAAAACTGCACTTGCCTGCCTGTGCTCGCACCATCTCCACACCGACATTCTGCACAGCACGCGCGTCAAAGCTCCGCGCAGCTCCGGCAGTGCCTCCAGCAGAATCCTCCAAGAACCTCACTCTGCCAGACTGACAGAGACAGGTACTATTCCGAGGCTTCTGCTGGCACCCAAGGAGCTGGATATAGTGGCCAAAGACACTGATGCCACTTAGGAAAGTCCTGCCCGGTAGCTGGGTAGCTCAGTACTGCACAATGATTATGTGATTTTACAGTACGTTGACACCGCAGCCACTAAATCCAAGCGGGATCCTCTGCCAGACCACACAATCTCGTTGGACATGCTCAAACTTTGTCGTGTCCTGGATGGCAAATAGCGGAAGATGGCTCCAAGCATGGCGCACTGTGCAGGAAATCCATGCGTCCAGACAACAGAGCCAAAAGCTTTGCAGAGGCGCCTGGCGATGCAGCACCAGAAACAACTCCGTGAGGTCGTCCAGCTTTTGGGTCGGACGACCTGTGCGGGGATGCAGGAAGCTTTTGGCCTGTCTTCCTCACGTCCAGGCCTACATTTGTGTTTGTCAGCTGCCTCCGACGAAGGGCAACTCTGATCGCCCGTAGTGGAAACTTTGGTGCCGCAGTGCCCTGTGCCTGCAAGCCGCCTGGGCCTGATGGGCGTAGAGTCTGCGCAGAGGATCCTCGCGGCGTTAACGATCAATCTATGGCTAACCCAAGGCCAGAGCTTGAACTCCTGCTTGAAGGAAATGTCTCCCCCAGTCACGTCCCAGAAGATGTCCAAGCCTCTCCAACAGCTTTACATCAACCTCCATCTCATGGCTCTGGGATCCATAAGTATTGAATTGCAACGGATGTCCTACCTGCAATTGCAGGATGGCTGAAAAGGCCAGTCCGATGAAACCAGTGCAAACTTCTCTCACCTTAGCAGCCATGAACACCAATGGACCGGCAACCGAAAACTCACGGGGTTCAGTTCTAGCTGGCTGCCTAATCACCAACAGTTTGCCTTGCAAAGGCTGAAGCCCCATCCGAAAGGCAGTTTCTTCTGTTGCCATCAAAGACACCTTTCAATTGCTCGTGCTGCAGCTGCACGAACCAGACCCTGTTCTCACTGGCCTCAGCAACAACAATCATTTTTGAAAGAAGTCCTAGCGGGTTGGCTTTTTAAAAAGGATTGGCAAGATTTGCCTAGGCAAGGGATTGCACAGGCATAAAAATTGAAATAAAGAAATCCTGGTGCCAACGGCATCCTCAATCTGGGCACGCAATATCCATCGGGGGCATGCAATCTACGGCGTGTAGACAACATGGTCCCAACGTGGTGCACTCTGCTCAGCTGGGCTTTGATAAGTCCGCGGGATACTCTGGGATCGCGTGAGGCAGACGAGCTGACTCGTTGTCATTTATATACATCAGAAAACGTATCAAGGGCTAGGCACCAACAGGATCTTCTCTTGCTCTTGCTCAACAATGACGTCAGACACAAGGATGATCAGCGGATAGTCCCATGCGGAAAGCCTTGAGATCTGCGTCTCAAGGAAGTGTGAAGCACGTGCACGCCGTACTCAAAAGCGGTCCATGCTACCATGCAGTCTTTTCTTGGACATTGCTTTCCTTCCAAGTTTTGAGCTGATTGAGCTTGGGCAGGTTCGATGCAAGGGCCTCCAGGGCATCAAATTCAAGTATAACATCTGCAGCAATGTGGTCACGGCTCGGTGCCTGCAAGGCACCGTGGCTTGAGCCGTCCATCCTGAGAGGCCGATGTCACACATCAGGAAGGGGTGCCACTACTTGAAAGCATCGTGGCCAAAAGACAGTGTGCAGTGCTTCTTCAATAATGCTTTGCAGCCCTCGCGCGAGCCACAATGCAAGAATCTTGATGAGCACCAAAGCACTGAGAGCACTTCTTCAGTTGTCTATAATGTCTCGACCAACACATCACTGCAGGACTCAAAAATGTGATCCGTGTCTGAAACGCTTCAACACAGGTCACTCGGTAGGCCATTGGAAGGTAATTCCTGAGATCCAAAACCCTTGAAGCAGCCCTCTCTTAAGTCTCTGATCAATCCGATCTGGAGGTCCTGAATCCCACAGCCAGTGATAGGTCAAAAGAAAGTCCAGCAAGCTCAAGCAGCTACAGCTAGCTTTCGTGAACAAGCCTGTGTTCAATGGTAAACCTGTGTGCACACCTTACCGGTTGCTTCACACAGCCTGACCATGTACCGCTACTCTGCTTGGCAATGCTCACGTGAGTACAACTGAGCGTCAAACAGGTAGACCAGTGCTGCTCGAAAAGGCCTGTCCTGCAAGCTCAGGGGACCAAGCCTAGATCATTGGTAAAGACAAGTGTCTACTTGCTACAAGTACTGTCTGTCACTCTGCGGTTGAAAATGTTCTGCAAGACCGTACCCTCAGAAAAGCAAAGCACCTTGTCTTGATGACCCTGGTCGATGATGTTGCAATCACTTCCACGGAAGGGAGGCAGGCAAACGCAGGCTGACCTGCCATCTGTTCGACCCTGAGATTGCAAAATCACAGCAGAACACGCGCAACCTAGCACTACCGGGTACCCTTGGACATCTTCACCAACTCGCACCAATCAGGTCAGCAATGCCGTGCTGCGTACTGGCCTGAGCTGGATTCACTGCAAGACGAAAGCAGAGGCTGCACACCAGCATGGGCAGCAACACTATCGAGTCCGACCTACGATTGTAATCATTCTTGGCGGGCACTGCCACCAGCAGGCAGATGCTGGACATTGAAGTGCGGAACTGCCTTTTGCACCATGCTCGGCCAAAAGAGAGGGCTTGGTCGAAGTGGCAACGTTGTCTGACTGCGTCTGCTGTCGTTGCCTTGAGGTTCCAAGCGCGAACTTGAAAAGGACATATTGATCATCCCGCCCCTCTGCTTGCTTCGTCTCTGTATAGATACTGCGAAATCCCAAGGCCTCCATCTGCTCCCAAAAGAGGGGCAGCAGTCTAACGCCGTCTTGAGCGCGCCCTGCCTGCTCGCAGGCGCAGAACACCCCTTCCTCCTTCAGCACTTGATGCAGTAGCTTCGGCAGCATCTCCTTGGTAGATCCGCCACATTCGACCAACTCTCCAGGTTGGTCTTACACATATCTGCCAAGGCTCAACCGCAGGCCTCTGATAAATCACCTGGCACACGCAGATACCCCAATTTCATTTTCAATTCTCATCCCTATCTTCCGGAAAGTGCCTCACTAGCCAAAACGACATCGCAACGGTCCAGCCCACAAGGCGCCTGCAGCACTAACAAGAGAATTCAAAGTCATACCTTTTGTGAGCATCTCTGTGGCCTCCCAGTCTAAGGGAATGACCGTGACATTCTCCAAGCCATTTTCCTGTCACTGTTAGGCTTTCGCACCTCTCTCTTGTACCACCAGGAACAAGCGACCCAAACCTCCACACTGCTCTGCAGGGCCGTCCGAACTGCTCGGCAACGATCGCTCAGCTTCACCTATCATAACCAAGCCTAGCCCAAGGTCTAGTTCAATAAAAATGCTCTGCAAAGATGCTGGCTGCTTATGACTGCTTGCTTTGGGGAAACGGGGCTGTCACACTGCCAGAGACCGACAAGCGACTTCGCGCGCTCCAAGCACTGCAGCAGCCAGGCCGCAAAGACCAGGCCCTGAGCCGACCTCCACAACCCTCCCTGCACACGAAGCTGGTCTAAAATGATCGTTTTGTTACAAGGTCCATAGCATGGAAACTTCTTCAAACAGGAGCCAAGGGACCTCCAGAACAGTCTTGCCGACGAGAAAGCTTGGCTCAGATACCAACCAGGCTGCTAACAACTGCGCCCCCGGCCAAACACGCCACCCATGGCTGGACAAAACCTCAGCTTCCTTCGCCTCACTGAGCGTGACCTTCAGCTCCATGTCCTTCAGTGGAGGCCGAGGAAGGGCAAAGCTAAGCTTATTCTTGACTGGCTCCATGGGTGCAAGATGTTGGACGGCATCATCAAGCTCGTCGGACAGCTTCTGTGCCAAGCTGGACAGCTCTGGGCCGAGAAAGTGTAAAGCTGCTACAGCAGCGGTAACCGGTAAGGCCCGGATGACCTTTCGGTTGTGTTCGCTTTGGGAAATCAGATCTATCAGGCCTTGCGCTGCAGCTGCGGAAGCTGCTGCATTTGAACTGCGAAGGCCGGAAATCAGAAAGTGCAGCAGCTCCGCATCGTCCTTCTCTGACAGGTCTCCGCATCTCTGCAAAAGCTCTTGGACAACATTCTGTATTGTCTCTGACATACTAGTGCTGCTACCAGCAAAGTTGAGCCACAACTTTGCACAGGCGTTAGGTGCATGTTGAGTCATCCTGCCGGTAAGCACCGGACACCATGTTGCATGTGGCCTCAGCCGCGTGTCCAAAGCCTGCAAACACTGCTTGGAGCGAGACACCCCCTGACGATTTTGGAAAGCCTTTCGTTGCGGCATGTAAAATTTGTTAGCGAGCTTTACTCAAGCCAGTGCCTCTGCAGATGCAACGCCGCTCCCAGGTGTTCCAGTTCCACGGAGGAGCATGAGTCGTCGCTGCATCGCCTACCGTTGCAGTGACCACGACATACTTGCTTCAAAAAGGCTTGGCACCGGCGAGATATCTTTGCGATACCTTTGAGAGTGTATCTTGGTTGAAAGTTTTACATGTCTTTGCAAAATTTGCAAATGCTCACGGCTCACAGGGGGCTCGTCCAGCACTTCACTTCAGGAGCCTGCGTAGCCATGCTCTTCGTGATGCGCGGCAAGTCCTCGGGTTGGCATTCATAGAGCATTACCAAACTCTGCCATTCGAGCAGCTGGCATCTTGCCCGTGACAAAGTGTGGACAGCCAGGCCCAAAAAGGGAGGAGGGTGAGCGGTCTGCATTCTTTATGATTGATACCAACTGTTGCCTCAGGTCACGAGTACATCTGAATACTCATAGGATGGGCAACGTCCTCCGCGCAGCTCTCCTTTCCAGTGAAGTTTCCTGAGATCCTGGCGCATTGAAAGACACGAGTAAAACATTGTCGTTTGTGCAGCATCTTCTCAGGACACACCGGCATTAAGCTCGCAAGGTTGTCAAGTGGCCCTCGGCAGCAAGGAAATCCCTGAAGGACCTGCACACGCAAGTAGGTTTTGTGGAGATGTGCCGGGAGAGCACATATCACCAGTTTGTTGAGACAAGCCAATGAACTGGAGTCGAAAAAGGCCAAACGTCAACACAAAGAAAATGTGTTCTAGTTGGATGGCCTGGAACAGCCGAGGCCTGTCTCAAAGCCATCTGGACCTTATTGGAGCAGCTTGGCTGACCAAATCTCGGGTGGCATTAAACAGCTCTCCATGTGAACAAGGTCTGTCAACAAAGTGCAGAGACACAGCTCGTGGCTAAGCCAGGTGGCGTCGAAGCCAACTCCGACCTCCCCATCTCAGTACAAAATAGTCTCACAACATCAGCAGAAGCTACACCCCCACCGCTAGCACAGATTGCACATCATGCACCAAGACAGAAACGACGTTGGATGCAGGACACTCGCGCTGGCACCCTGCTCTTTCTACACTCTGAACCTTCACTAAGGTCGTGAGCCCTTTCTGCAGGCGCGAGCCTGAGCTCGCCTAGAAAATCCCAGGAGCGACCCAAACAACAGCCCTCCTTCGTTGCCTCCAGGTGGTCGAAGTAGCGAGAATATGGTGAGCAATGCCAGCCTTCGGTGGCCAAGAGCATGCAGAAATCGCACTCCGGGAATTGCCGACGAAATGCAGTCCTGCCTTGACGCCACACTTCAAAGACGGATGGCGTCGTCCCTGTGCAATCGCCGAGTAGTCGCTTGTAGTTTGTGAACTCTGCCATTGAACCAGTTCATGTCAGCGTTTGGGGTTTGAAAGTTTGGGGTAGAAAGATGGGACTCAACCCCAGAAACAAAGGGCCTGGCTGTCCGAGCTGCTCCCTTACAAAGGTGGCCACATCTTGGTGGATGAACACCTGACCACGTGAGCACAGTGCACAACGGGTTCTGCTGGTTCTTCGTCTCACTCCATGTAGACGTCAGCGATGGAAAGCCACCATCCCACTGAGCACGCTATTCCACACTCCCTGCCAGGAACCGAACTGCCACAAAGTGCTCCAGGTAGAGCAACTCATAGCCTTGGCAAAACAGAAACTTTTGCGCACTTGGTGCTTGCTTATGATACACAGGAGCTGACCGAGTGGCTGCAGAAGGTTTGAGACCGTTTGAAGCGAGCACCTTGACAGGCTTTCCGTTATGCGGGGTCATGGGGCAAGAGTTTGCAGGGACGACATACGTCTGAAAGCTGTACGCTAAGAAGAGAGCTGCGCGGCCATGTATCTTCGAAAGGCTTGAAGGTTGGAGACGAATTGATCCGTGCCAGCCTGTCAATGAAATTCCAATCAGACTAGCACCTGAGGTGTCGACAGTGCACTACCTCAAGCTTATGTGCAGCATAGCTCTTCAAAAAGCCGCACCCTGCGAGCTGCTTTTGACTTGCGGCGGTGCCAGATGTAAAAGTGCGTAAAGTTCGGCTTCACCTACGTGAAAGGCACTGGCACTCTCAGACAAGCAAGTTGTGCAACACAGGTCTTGTGGGTAAATCACATGTCCATTCCTAGCCTCCAGCGGCGGAGGCACAGTCGGGTTCACAGGAGAGTAGACGATGCTTGCGGTACTTATGCTATCTGCCTGCAACAGCAGTTCGGTTGATATCCAAAAGCTTGCGGCATGCTACGCAGAATGCAGCAGCAACGCAGCCTTACACAGAAGTATTCATGAGAAAGGGCGCTGGAGCGACAGCTACGCTACATCGCTACGTTATGCTGTTATGCTCTTGGCTTGGCCGCTTCCATCTTCAGCTACAAGCGCAATCTTCTTGCCACGTCAGAACAAGGCACCTGCCTGCAGGATCTCCCAGATCTTGTGACAGTTTCCGGCCATGGGATTCAGAGATCTGCCACGACAAGCACACTTTCATGGCAAGCTTGGCACGCTTCAATTATCCTCAGTCCCAGCCAAATCAAATGACTGTAACAAGTTTTTGCCCTGACAAGGGTTTGAATCTTTGCACACCGTTGTAAACAGGGCCAGGGCCACATGAGGTCATAGGGATCGGGGGGTGGGAGGATGGGATCGACCGTCGACTGCCAAACAGGCTGCTCCTTCTTACACAGTGGGTCCCAACACTGTGGAAAAACAGTTTAATGGTGTCTTGCGCAAGGCTCGGTCCTTGGATCTTTGCCCTGACCAAGCCTCGATCATCCCAAACAAGAAGTCTTCTCAAACAAATTTCTGAGTCGCGCTTCCAGCTCAGTCTTCGGCTCTTCCAATCCATCTGACGTACAGGGGGTCATCAATCTCTGGATCCATGGTGAGAAAATAGATCTGCGCGGGTCTCGCTTACTCACAGCCTGCCTGCACACGCCCCTGAATGGAAACTCAACAATCTCTCAAGGTGCGCACAGAAAGCACACAAATGCAAACCCTCAGTCCGCTCACTAATGGCAGTAAGCTCTTCACATGTCTCAGGAGCTTCAACATGCTACAACTTCGCGCAGGGCGCACCACTCCGCTGAGGCCGAGCTCACTGTCCAGGCATAGCGTCGGGTCATAGAGAAGCCCGACCTGAACGTTGACCGAATTTCGGTGGCTGACCCATCCAGGCGCGATGACACCAGTGAGTCACGGGTCCAGCAGCATGTCAACTTAAACCAAGCCACAGCATCTTTGCAGCTGGCTTCCTGGCCAAACTGCCCAGCGCTGCGGATCTGAGTTCGGTCAACGTCTGTACAATAGAACATAGGACCCGAAGCAACAGCAAAAGCGCAGCGCTTCTGAGAAAAGGAAGCAAGATAGAAAGAGTAGTTAACATGTTCTTCATTGCGACAGACACTAGGTAAGGCCGGCGCTGCCACGTATGAGCGGTAAACAGGCCTAGAGGGATTGGAAGGCAGTCTTGCAGCTGTGGTGAATGTACGTCAAACTTCAACAGCATTACTGCCAACAGCCCTGGTCGCAATTCCGAATCGAACCGCCCTATTTGACGCTCGAGAACGCTGCGCAACTGCTGTTCTTAGCAAGTGCAACGTTCCATGGTGTATGGATCCGACATGAGCAACACAATAGAACAGCTCATGAGACACTGCTATCAGCAGGAAGGCCGCCACCGCTTGGCAGCTGCAATGATCTTGAGCAGCTGGCTTGGTGAGACCTGAGAACTTTGCCCTTACAAGCCTTCTTGTGCCCATGCCACTGCCATGCTTCCAACTCAGGAATGGCATGTCGACACACCAGCAAAGTTCTGCAATAGCCATGCCGCCATGCCTGACAAGCCCCTTAAAATATATTGTTCAACGCAGCCCAAGTGTCGCCAAGCCAAGTGGTCAAAGCCGCCGGATCGCGGCGAGCAGCAGCAACCCGTGCCGTGCGACCTAAACCCCCGGAGTTCAAAGCCGGGAGTGGTGGAACTGGTTGCTGGCTAGGGGCTCGTCCCAGCTGGAACACGCCTCTCGCAGAGTGGGGATGCCCTCATCACTGGCCAACCTGGTCGCAACCAGGTGTTGCATGCCTTCAAAACAGTAGGAGCACCCTGGAAGCCCTTCCCGCACCTTCGGTTGGAACAGGAAGCTGGAAGGTCATCTCCTTCACAGTTGCTCAGACCGCGTTGCAAAGGCATGCTTTTCTAGGTGACCTATGCGCATACTTTCCGATGCTGCAACCAACATCAGCACACCGCGAAGGGTTCCAAGTGGCCTGAATGGTGGCGCTTGTTCTTCCGCTGGCTTCCAAGACCTCTGCGGCGGCACGCTGCGTCCAGGCGGGAACTCCTCCCAGATTTCAATTCGCAGCTCGCAATACAACAGAAACCGGTTCTCTCCTTTGGGCAGGTGCCTTGCTTCCGACGCCATGTCTGGGATTGCATCCAACAACCGCGAGGTGATAAACTGCACTCCATGACCTCAGCGGGTCGGGTCTTGCAAAGAATCGAAGCATTCAGAAAAGGTAGGGTGCACGCCGAGAACCCCTGCCAGCCGAACCAGGTCATTCACGCTCAATGTCGGCAGCTCCTCGAGATCTATCAACTCAGATTAAGATACATACGTCTGCAGCAAGGCAGGAATGCGTGACTCGTGCCTCAACGCTTGCTGAGATGGCCGGCATCAGCAAGTCCTCCAGAGATTCTGAGCATGTTCCAGACAGCTCCTTGTCTACTCCACTAATCAGTCAATTCCCAAACAGTTGGTCCTGAAGCGCGAGACGAACTTGTTGTACAGCCCCCCTTCTTTCAAGTATCGGCGGCTCTTTTTGGCGAATGGTCAGTGTGGACTCCGTGAGAGCGATTGACGACAACACCAGCAGGCAGAAGGCCGCAGCCTTCCGAGTGAAGGACTCCAAGAGAGTCTTCAAGGAGAACCTCAAACTGTGACGTCCGGGTACTTGCAGCGCTGTTTTTTGCACAACTCGTGAACTTAGATCCCGGCGGCCTTCCTGATCCTAAATCTTCAATTCCATCATGGCCACAGGTTGCGCATCCCATCTGTTCACAGCAAAGCACGTAGGCCACGTCCAAGAGGTGAACCTGAAGGCAGAACTGCGCACCTTCCAAAACATTTTTGCTAGGAAGTGCAATGCCACATTCTGCAACTCTAATGCCCGCAAAGAACCCCGGAGCTTACCAGATCAACGGCCGCAAACACAAGGAAACGCTCCTGGCCCTTGTCGGCAGACGTGTCCATGACCTCACCCAACTTGTTCAAGGTCTCTGAGATGACGGTCAGAGTCTCCCGTCGCAAAGTCGAGACCGGGAGGGCGAGGCAGGGGCCAATGTAGTCGGGCTCCAGCTTGTCTTCCAGGCCATCCTGTGCGTGGACAAAGAGAACGGGCTCTCGTGCTTCTCCTGAACGGTACACTCTCCAAGTCACTGCAAGTTCTGTAGCGGAAGTGACGGAAGCGAGGCGGCAGAGTGCAGTCCTCTGCACGGCTTGACTTGTGCTGCCTGGCAGATGATTTTTGAAGCTCGGCATCATGCTGCAGCACCTGCGATGTCTCAGAAGATCTAAGGTGATGGCCAGGGTGGTCAAACACCAAAGCTGGAAGACAGCGGAGATGCGTCCCATTTGGAATCTGCTGTAGCATTCCAGTTCAGGGTACATCCACCATGGCGGTTCTTGGGATTGCAAGCTGTCAACCTGCACAGTTCCTGCGCAAACGGCGCCTGAGCCAGCAACAAGGGATACACTCACATGAACCCCTTCATGTTTTTTGGAAGTCGTGAGAGGATCAACGAATAAATGCATGTGGAAGTGACGAACGTCGATTGAAGCGGTTTTTCCGAGTCCAACGTAAAATTCATCCCAAAATTGCGTCTTCCAGCTGATATGTGGAGCTACTCCCTGCACCTCATCCGGCATTGAACACATGCAGCAGAGGCCGTAAGGATTGGTCCTTTTACTGCTACTTAGCCTGGCGTCATCGGGCGTCCAGACAAATACACAACCGCTTTGGTAAGGTTGCCAGCTGGGGCCTGGGATACTTAGCTTGGAGTTAGAAACCATGTTGGGCTACCTAGAGCGGACACCCAGTCTCGGGGGTAATGTGAAACGCAGGTGAAACACCTGAGACGTTTGGGGTGAGACCTTTGGTCTTGGGTTGCTGCTGTGTCTGATTAACTACCAGTTAGTAACATCTCACCCGTTCAAGGGCCAGCTTCGCCCTCGTCAGATGGGATTATGTCACCAAGCCATGCAAACTCATCGGCAGCAGCCGCCTCCAAGCCAGAGCTAGGCGCATTGAGAAACACAATATTTCTGCTGCTGGCTGTGCAACATGACATTGAACAGCGATTCCTAAGACCGGGGCGCTCTGAGAAGGAGCAGAAGCCTGAAGAGCTGTCCAATGCACCCATTCAATACAAAGCTCCATTGGAAGGTGTAAGAGAAGAGTGGCGATAAGACCGATAAGACTGCCATTGCATCCCAGGTACAGGAGGGTTGACAGGCTCCTGAGGAAAGGTCTTCTGGTACAGCAGCTGCACCTGCACTCACGCGTCTAAAATCTGCGGCCCCTCACGTCATGTCCCATGCCAAAGGCCGAGGGCGCTACGACGCGTTGCTGCGAGAGGAGTAGTTCCAAAACCTGAGTCAGCTTTCTCTCCGCTTTGCACCTACCAGTCTTGAGCAGAAGCTCCAAGTCCGCTGGCCCGCTCACGATCTTGGGCACTCAGTTCATGGACAGACCTCCGAAGGCTGTAGCGCTTGAAAATCCAGTGAACATTGAAAGCAGACATGAGGTGCAGGCACAGAGGAGAGGGGTGGGCTGGAGCTTCCCGGCACGGCTGCCGCAGGGTCCTCTACAGTTACTCGGTTGGGTCAGCAGGAACATGACTTGGGTTGCGGTGTCTCCTTTCCCTCTGCCTGCATCTGTGTCCTCAGATGGGGCTGTGGTACTCTTGCGCTCGCACGAGGGCTGCTGCATGCTGCTGAGTACACAGCCGCAGGATCTCTGCCTGCACAGTGGCTTACAGCTAAGCTAAAATTTCTGCGACAAAGAAACCCTATGGCCTTGCCTTCACGTCATCCAGGCTCTGTCGAAGCAGGACCTCAAATGTCAGAATACTTTCACAAGGGCTTGGCTTCAAGAGCTGACACTGGGCGGGACCTCCAATTCCGTCCTCTGCTGCAACATATCAGCCTGACCCGGCGCAACAGCCAGCGAGGCGCATGCATTGTAAAGCTGCTTTTCTTGCAGAAGGTCTTCAGAACGCACAGATCTGCTCCTGCTGCTGCTTCAATGCCACTACCGTCCGCCGCTCCTGAGTTGTCAGGAAGATGTGTAGCAATGCATGTGCCGCTGCTGGACATCTGAAAAATCAGGAGTGACTGCCCAGCCCTGGGGTGCCGGCTGCATCCACCATTCGCTTTAGCTTCAGCGCTGCCTCTCTGAGAGCTACCTGGGGCGCAATGATACTGGCATTCTTGGCATTCTTGGCAGTCTTGGCATTCTTGGCACTTGGTTGCCATTAGCCGGCCTCTCTCTCATACTGCTTGTTGTGCCTCGAGGCAGAGTTTGCTGATAGCTCTTGAGGTCTGGAGGCGATCCAGGTCCCTGGCGTCTGTTGCAGCCTCGCTTGATCAATCTGTTTCTGTGAGAAGCTGCGCCTGCCAGTGTAGAACAAGGTCAAAACAGCCTGCAATGTGATGCGCCATTCCTATTTACAGTTTTTTTTTCGTTGCAATGACATCTACTAAGGGCGAACTGACTTGTCTCTTATGTGTTTGCTGACTAGTTTTCTTGTCAATTTGAAAGGGCTCAAGCACAACACATCCAAGGCCAAAATTCCAGTCAGAAAGATTGAGATGAGATGACTACATCAGGAAGACCCAAGAACCTTCCCCAGGTCAAGGTGTCTCTGCCTGTTGGGCTTTGGCTCTGCCTCCTTGGCCTCAAGCACTTCGGCCTGGGCTGAAGACAGCACATGAGAAGTAGGATTGGGAATTAGGGGTGTAAGCAGGGTGTAAGGTGCTGGTTTGCATAGTTTTTTGCGCAAGTCAGGCTGCAGAGAGCATGCTAGTCAAGAGGCTACGGCCTAGGGGTATTACACTGCGGCTGATGTAAAGCGATCTGCCACAGCTCTTGTTGAGGCGGTGAGTTTCCTTCCACTCAGCACTTGTTAGGAATACGTGTGCAACCCGCTTTGGCAGTCCGAGGCAAGACTTGCTTGTGTAGTTACAACAAACATCAACAAAACAAGTCGCATGCAAGATATGAAAGCGCAGTTTATTCTTTCAGGCGAGGGGCAGTCCCCGACTTCCCTGCCAGCTGCTGCTGCTTTAGAGCCTGGACTTCCTTCCTGGCGGTCGGAGATGTGAGAGGGTTGGCAGGGGAGTACCTAAGGTCTTTCAATGCTTGTCCCCAGTTTCCATTTCATATTCCGTCTTCTTTTCCATTTGATTCTCCTTTATTGATACGGGTAATATCCCTACATACTGCCCATATGCCTCATATAACTCCTATATGAGCTATAGTCTAGACTCCTGGCATCCCCCTTAAAAAGCCCTATACTACAGTACTCTCCTATATAATCCCTTACATAACCCCCTTTAAGGGGTGTAGACTATAGATCACATCGGGAAATTTTGGTTTGTCCTGGAAAGCACCAGCTCCCGGAGCAGCGCTTGGCGATCGTCCTCACGCGTCCTCAGCTTCTCCTGCAGCCTCAGAGGGTCGGACATGAGCTGTAGTCTAAACTCTACACTCCTTTAGAGGGTGTACGTAGGGGATGATATAGGGGAGTACTGGAGGGATGAGAGGCTTGTGGACATTCCGATGATCTTCGATCTAAGCCCAGAAGGGGGCTTCCCAAAATTAAGGGTAACTTTTTGAGGGTCCCGATAATAAGGACTGGTGTGTTTCGGGGATCACATAGGCGTACCCCCTAATTCAATTCGGGAAACTGGCACATTCCGATGATCTTTGATAAGCCCCGAAGGCCCCCAGCTTTTGGTTTTCAGCGGTCAGCTGCTGGTTCTTCTTGTCAAACGTTTGAGCCAACTCCTGGAAAAGAGCCATTTGCATGGTGGACACAGTCACAGCCGCACCGGCAATCTCTGGCAATCTCCTGTGTCTTGTGCAATTCAGCCACCTTGACAACAAGAAGTGGAGAATCTGGATGATGCCGTGAAGCAAGACTAGGCTGTGCACCACCCTTCGATGGTGCGCTTGCTGCCTCAGACCCGGGATAAGCAGCCGCTAACCCCAGATCAACTGCAATTGGCAGCAGAAAGGTCTAGAAGCTCGTCAGCTGTCTTAAGGAGCTGAGGGCATGGAACTCCGAGATTGAGCTCAATGATCACGCCTCTCCCTTTTGCCCATCACACATTCTGTCTTCTGAAACCTGATGCCTGGTCAACCAACAGATTCCCGCTTAAGTTCCGGCCCCCCAACCATCCAGGAAAGTTCTTTTGCTAAGCAAAGAGTCGCTCTGAAAAACAGCTCTAAGAGTCTCAGGTGGCAGCTCTGTGGAATGCTCACCTTTGCGACTGCGTTGAGCCTCCAAATCCTCGTGGAGCAGATGTTATTGAGGGGTTTTATGCAGGGCTGCGATAAGGAAACAAAAGCCATCCTCACTATTCCAGAAGTCTCTCAGTCAATACTACAATCAATAAGACGCCACAGTATGACGAAGAAGGAGGTACCACAATGACCGCACAACCTCAACAAGCAGTCGAAGAGATGCGCACTGTATCGTGACGAATAAAGCAGCATTAGCTATGTAGCTTCCAGGAAATTATGCTTTCCTCCATCCTTCCGACCACATCATCCCCCGCTGCGCCTTGGAGACCTCCTGCAGCCTGGCTCTGAAGGCTCGCATCAGGTCCTTCTCCTGATCCTGCTACCCAGCTCCACACTTGGAAAATGAGCTAAGATGATCGAGACACTACTTCGCAAACATCCGCCGAATACTCGAGGCTTGCAAGTCACAGAGATACAGCCTGGAGGATCTTTGCCGTGTTGGTTTGGATGCACTCCAGCCCTGTAATTACCTGCACCAAACTTTGCTCCGCCAGCGACACTCGCCTAAACCATCTCAGGACTCAACACTTCTGTGCATGTTGCCAATGGCTTCCATGCGTTTGCCTGGCAGAGCAAAGACAAAGCAATTGCTTTTGTCGATCCTCAATGTCTAATGGCACCAGAATGCGGGGGGGTGGTACGGAATAGGTCAAGAAAGTCACCGAGCGGCTGTGCTCATCATTCTCTGCACCCTCGAGCAACCGCTTCTCAAGGGCCTCTATCTTATTCCTCGGCTTCTTATCTCGGAGATGGATCAAGCAAATCGATGCGGATGGAAGGCAACCAAGTCACATGGTCGCCTTCTCACGCTTGACCTGGCCAATGCTCACCACTCGCGAGACTGGTGCCACGTGGCACCGGCTTGGACTTGGCATCGGCTTGGCAATCTCCATATGACAACTCCAAAACAGCGCCAGGATGACGAAGGAGGCAACTCGATGCTTGTACCTTAGCACGGATCATGCTGGCACGACGCTGAGAAGACAGTTGATTGAATGCTGTGAGTGCGGCTGGTCCTCGAGAGTCCGATTCTTGTTTCTCTCCTCATCGAGCTGCTTCTGAAGTTCCTGGCCACCAAACATGCTTTCCTGCCTTATCACAGATTCTGGCATTCTTGTTTTGATAAGTTGGCAGAAGGCCGACACTGGCATTACCCTTCCAGGTGGATTACAAACCATCTTTTGGAAGCCTGCATGTAGTGATGCTTGAGCTTGCAACTTTAGGAAAGCTGGAAAATGATTCAAGCAGACACGCAACGGCGGCTGCCCTTAGAACAGCCATCCAAAACCCCCTGGGTATGCTCTCACGTCACTTGATGATGTGGAGATCCCAAGGGGTGCGTGGAGCATTATCCAAGCAGTGCAAACGCCGGTCACCTCATGCGCTCACTGTGATCAGCTGTCCCGGCGTTACCCCTTCTGGAACCACAATTTCCAGTGTGGCCTCAGCCACTGGGCCAAAGTCAAGAGTCAAGGCCATGCTGAGAATTGAAGGATGTTGAAGGTGTTTGGAAGATCTTCCGAATTCTGCCGAGCTTCGCCCCAGGGCGCCTTTGCCTGAATGCGGGTTCCCGGTGCAGCGCCCTCGGGGATTTGCACCTGAAGAAAAGCTGTGGCGTTGAACAGCAAATGTAACGGGCAGGAGCAGAGACCCCCACCTGCATAGTGCGTGCTGCTGGCATGACCTGCCAAAATCACCAGTCCCGAAACCCTACCTACATCTTTCATCAGGGTAGAGATGCTCGCAAGTCCGTCCAGAACAGACGTTTTGAAAACGTGGTTCGCGCAAGACGACTGGTTGGGGGGATTCTTTCGCCTAGCACTCCATCAATCGGAGGCAAACATGACAGGCTCGCATGCTGATCCGGCGCATACGAAGCTGCGGCCGGTGCTGGCGCTGCCTTGGGAGCGGGCGGGCCATCCTTGTACTCTCTGCGATAGAAAGCCACGTACCTGCACATCACCAGCACAAGTATGACCGTACATACTAGTTGACCAAATATGGGATCTTCGACCACAATCAAGTCTCTTCAGTCTGCAGGGCACTCAGGATAGATGGAGGCTTCATCGAAGATGATGAACTCCTTTGTCAAGCGAGAATGCGCATGCATCATTGCTTGTGCTTCCAATGCTGCTTTGGGTCTCGAAAAGTACCAACGGCTTTCTCGCGGTCTCCGACAACGCTGTCAAACTCACCAGAGGTACACTTCTCCTGACACAAATTGCACTTTGCCAGGAGGACCGGCAGATTGGGCTTTCCGTGAGATATAGTTCGAGGCGATGAAGCAGTTGTGTTTGGGGTGATGGCAAACGTGCTCTGAAAGCGGCCATGCTGCGGTGTAGTTGCCAGGCTTCTCGACGACATAAGAACTTCCCACCACAACTCTGCAAAGCAGCACGGCAAATAGACCGTCATAAGCACCTCCCGTGTTTTCGTCTCGGGCATATTCCTTGCAGCGCCAAGGCATCCCAAGCAGTTGCAAGCAGGTTGCGAGTGATTTCTTCACGAGCCCTTGTCACCTCCACTCCAATACTGCTGCTACAAAGGTACATCCGACTTCGAGGAGGACTCTGCCAGATACACCTGACAGGGCAGACTCCCCAGCCGTAGCAAGGAGTGAGCTCCAGGTCATGCACAACCATGCAACCATGCCAGGCAGACTCCAGGCCCGAACATTGTGCCAACGGCAGCACCAGCGAAGTCAACTTTGAAAGAAGTGCTCAAGATCGAAATGGCCGAAGTTGGATTGGACCCATGGAACAAGTAAGCCTGGCAGCTCAGGAAAGCCCACAAAAATGCTTTTCACCGGCAGGCCTCATTGGTTGGATTGCCAAGCCGAGGATGAGTGCACCTGAAGATTGAGGATTCGATTCTTTTCGAGCTCGGTTCAGCTTCCAGTGAAGACACCCGCCTTTCCTCGAAGGCTTTGCAGGCTTTCACTGTCTTGGGCTCAACTATCTCCACGGTGCTTCGGTTCTTGATGTCTTTGGCAACCTTCGCAGAAATTGCAGTGTGACAGCTTAGAAGCGTGCACGATCTACATGCAGTGTAAGCTGCGTGATTTCTCCTCTGCGCGAATTTTTCCCACAAGCCTGGCATAGAAACATGCTGGCAGACGTCAAGTCTCAGATTTCAGAGCAGCTCGTACCTGCGCTGCACCTCTGAACTCTTCAGAACACCCTCATTTCCAGTATCTTGCATTCTCATCTTGCCTGGATGCTCCGATCGAAGAGCAGACACCACCACGAAGCGATCAGCGAGAGGACCACCGGCACGATCACGTGTGGATTTTTTCTTGTATGTTCCGTCCATCGCCTCCTGAATCCAAGCGATCTCCTCAGCCGTTGCAGGAACGATCTCCTGGCCAACCGATCCCGTCCTGAAGCTCAACCATTCAGAGGCGCACAGAAGGTGCAAGCTACACGAAGAGGACTCACTGCACGCCTGCTGCTTTCCTTCCAGTAGTTGGGAGGCAAGAGCGGAGGGCGTCCCAGTTTAGCCACGTTCACATCCGCTGCCATGAACACGTTGCGACCGCCTTAGGCAGCTTGCAGCAGAGAAGAAAAGCAAAGTCTCAGCGTGCTCCGCCCTTGCTCCGAGTTGCCAGGCCGATGCCTGAAGATCAGCTGCTGCTCGCGGCCATTCACACTGATGGTACTATCCTGCGTGCGGTGCGCCAAATTTACACCTCCGCCTGCGTGTGGTACACTTCTCGCAAAGCGCTGCTCTGTCCTTTCCCACGCGGAAGATAGAGTCAACGCTGTTGCCATTGCAAACGATCAGGTCCCACTCACCCAGGTGGTCAACCATGAAGTCGCAAAGACGCATCGTGTACCTTTTGCTAACAACAGTCTCGGACAAGTGGCAGTTAAAATCAAAAGCCCGCCCACGGCACCTGCCAAAGTTGCTCTCACCATTCAGTCGGCCATGAAGATGATGCCAACTTGTTGTGGCCTCTCCTCACCAAGTGGACAAGTTCGGACAGATGCAATCACAACTAGCTTATCATCATCCAATCTGGTCCCTTGAAGAACTAGCTTCAAAAGTGAACGCTATACATGAGCACCCTCCCGACTTCAAAGCTTCCGAATCATCCTTTCAAGGTGATGTAACGACAAAGCCTGCACACTGGAACCGAGGGTCGGAGGCGGAAGCAATTGCACTGAAGCAGGAGGTCACCTTAGAAGGAGCATCTCTGCAACGACCCGGCAGCGGCGCGAAGCTTGCAACAGTTTACACCCACATCCCGCTTTAGCTTTGAGTAGCTTTCTGGCAAGCAACAATACGGCTGTGGACCCAGAGGTGTACAGAGCATGGTTTGCTGCATGTACTGGATGACCTCATGGAGATCCACGTAGAAAGACAAAGACCCATGCACATTTCAGCCATGCTCGCATGCCGCATCAAGTAGTAGCCTGCTGATACACGCCGTTGGTGTTCTGCCCGTTGATCTCGATAAAGCCCTGATAATGGCCCTCTTTATTCATCGGTATCGTCCTCAGCTCGATCATCAGCAGGGGGGCCGCCGGGTTGTCGGTCGGCCGAGCCTTTGTGAATTTCACCTGCTGCTCACGTATGATGCCGGACCTCTGTTGGCCTGACACAGGCAACATCTCCTCAAGCAGAATGAAGCCAGCTATACTTTCAGTGCCATCCATACCGAGGTGGGAAGGGCACACAACAGGTAGCGGTCTGGCTACTAAAGCTCTAGAGCAGGTATATACAGGGGTGGGGAAAGCGCGAGAGCAGGTCTGGCCTGCGTGAATATTACCACCGTTACAAAGCAGCAGCATCCAGCCATAGTTCCCAAGATAGCTTGCAACTTCAATGGTGCGCTTGCCTAAGTTTGTCTGCAAGTTGCCATGTCAGTTACATTCCGTTGCATGTTGCCTGTGGGACGTTCATATTGACAAGGGGCCTAGATTGTTCGTGGTGCCTGCACGGTAGTAAAAACCTGCAGGAGTCTGATACTTGACGTCGCAGAACCTTGGCCAGCGGCAAGAAGCAAATCTACAGGCCATTGGCCAATGCACCCTTCAGCTGCGAATCAAGGCGCTTTTCAGAAGATTCCCAGAACCCAGGTTGATACACCTTTCCAGCCATTTCAAGACAGCATGGGTGACGTACCGTAAGCGGCTCCACGCCTGGCAGCCCTGCTGTCTGTAGAAGTTGTCCAGCAGTTGGGCTGCCTCGGGCGCATCGTGCAAGCCGTTGAGCTCCACATAGCCCTGGTCACGAAGCTCGATCATGAGATGCTGGTCGCCGTGCTGCACATGGGCATCCTTAGTTCGCTGCGAGACGCGCCCTCAAGAAAGCTACAGGGCGCAGTTCTTTGCCTGTTGACCACATCTCAGCTAAGCGGCATTTCTGAAAACCATTTGTTGCTCCCTCATGCTGCCAGTGAGACCACAATTTCCTCCAGTACAAGTCAGGAGGGTCCAGGCACACTCTTTGGTCATGAAGTCGACGATCTGGAGCGCGCAAAGAGCTGCGGTGGGTTATAACTCAAATGAAAGCAGTACGCAGCCTTTTTGCCCCTGCTGTACTGTGACTTGTCTAGATTAGATTCTCATACATCAGCGAACAATCTCGATCAAATGTGGAAAGTAGTGTTCCGCAACCACGTGTGATTGTTCAACACGGAGGGGGGGGTGTGAGTGACCCAGACGTGTGCATGAAGACTGGACCAATATCTAGAAGATGAACGCCGCAATGCTCAGTTGTTGCTTGCTTATCTTTCTTCAATTGACACACATGCGTTGCCGCGACTGTGTCACACCATTTGCAATGCTCATCTATGAATGCCTGCAACCGATTCCGCAAAGATATCGTGTCATCCGGATTGTGTTGGTGTGCACGCTTCTGTTGGTGATTCATCCTACTCACTTTGTACCTTTCTTGTCTGGCAATCTTCTCATCAAAGAGCAATTGATCCTGTGATGCTGGGCTTGGATCTTAGGCTCCTGAGCAGGCAACGATGTCTCACTATTGCTCACTGGTTCTTACTATTTCTGAATATTTTTAACTGTTTCCCACTATTTTTCACTATTTCTCATTATTTCCCACTACCTTTCTCCTTATTTCTCAGTATTGCTCACAATTTCTCATTATTTCTCGATATTTCTCATTATTTCTCATTATTTCTTATTGTTTCTCACTATTGATCACTATTTCTTACTATTCTTCAGTTTGGTATGGGGAAACGTAGCAAACCCACAGAAATGTGAATTTGCTAGTTTTGTATGGGAAAACGCAGCGAGCCGAAATATACGCAGAAAGGCAAGCAGCCTTGATAGAACATGGAGAGAGATGACAGCGCTTCTGAAACCAGCATCTTGGACATCACTGCGCATATGTAAAAGAATGCCACAATCGTCTCTCTCAGATGGAGCGCTTTCACGACAGACCGTGTCATGTGCAAGCCCCCCGGAGATCTTAAGCCAAACTCCTGGCAAAAGATGTGTATCATATTGCGGGAGTAATTGCAGAGCTTGACGCTGTCATGGTACACATCGCAATAAGAACGACCCCCAACGCTACATTGGGCTACCTGGGTCGTGCCGAAGCACCAGACCCTCTCCGAAGGTAGAGCGAAATTTTTTGTCTGCCAAACATTGTCGCGATGTATGCAGACAGCGCTCTACCTGGCGTAGATGCCGCGAACCTGTATTCAATCTTGCCACGTAGCCAACCTCAATCAAATCCACCTCGCAAAATCCCTGCATACGAAAGGGCCTCAAGTATCTCAGCCATGTGTCCAGAGTATGGCTCAGAAACGAGCAGCAGTCAAGCGCAACTGTTGTACCCAACTTCAATCTGGAGTCGCAGGCATGACTGTATCGAACGAGATGAGTTTGATCCAAAATGAATCCTTGCCAATGGACGAGCACGGGTCATGAGGTAGTCATGGTACATACTCTAAATCACCGCAACCTGAGCCCCATCTTGGCTCTGTGGCTCATACGCTGCCTCACGTTCATCACTGCTCTCTGCGTTTGACTGCTTTCCACCAGAAAGGATCTGAACATTCCACACTGGCCGCGTAATATACCTGGCAACGTGATTGCCCTCAACGTTGCACTCCGCAGCGGCTTCTGGCAACTCTGTCGCTGCCTGTAGTTAGTTCTTGCTCAGCATCCTCGGAAATTTCAGTGAGAGCAATTTCTTGCAAGTCTGCTTCCACAATATCAAACGCGTGGTTCAGCAAAGCATGGGCCAATGCACATTGCAGAGAACAGCCTTACTCATTGGCGCTTCAATAAAAAGATGATGGAAGAAGGGTTGACCCGCATCATCAGGCCGTTTAGATTTCTTGCAGATACGACATGGAATCTGCGCAGTAGACTCTTCAGATGCACCTACATTCTCATGTTTACGCTTGTTGCTTGCGCGGCGAGGGGTTTCTTCTATGGTCCGGCCCCAATTCGCATCCCAATCCATGCTCTCCATATGGCTATCGATGTCTTGCGTCGTCAATTGCGCAAGTCCGTCAGGCAAACCAGTATCACATGGCAGTGTCTGCAAGGATCTCAGCGGCCGTGCTGCTTCTGCAACTATCTGCAACTAGGGTTTGCAGAAAAATGCCTTCATTTTTTGGCACGCGCAAAAGACGCAGATGCCTGTAACTGTGCAATGGCTCGCTCCTCCTGATCTTCTATCTCAGTCAGTCAGTCAGTCAGTCAGTCATACGCCAGGCGGCGCGTGGACACGTATGGCGCGGCACACCGTTTGCCGCCAGACGAGGGGGTTTTGTACAAGTCTGGCTACTTCACAGTGACCGTCCAAAACTTCAAAAACTTTATTCCGAATTTCTGTGACCCATTCCCGTCTCGGTCGGCCCACCCTTCTAACGAACCTGCTGGTTGCCGGCTGCAGTGATCCAGGGATAAAAGCCGCTTGGTGCATTACATGGTCGAATGGACATCGTAAAGCTGTGCCAAAAAGAAGGAGTTGTCGTTGCAAGAGCATGTCAGCGGCAGTATGACAGTGGGCGCGTCGAAGAACTTCAGCGTTCGGAACGC